TCTCAGCTCCTCAGTAGGCCTGGCCTGGGAGGGCTTAGCTTAGTTTGGCCCTTTGGCTGGAAGGGTCCCAGTTCAAGCCAAGCAGGTGTTTCACACACACACACACACACACACACACACACACACAAAGGGCCTTGGAAGGTCTGGGGCCCAGGCGTGCTCAGCCAGTCCTCCCTGTCCAGTCATGCTTGTGCTGAGGAACACAATCCCAACCCTGACTAGCTGACTGCAACTATCTAGACCATCCACTGCAACATTTTGTTCCAGGGACTCTCAGGAGACAGGGAGGAAGAGTTGTTTTTGATGGAACTTCAAATAGGGGTAACTGCCCCCTGGAGGCCAGTTGGGGCTACATGCTCAAGGAACGCTGGTGGGAAACAACCCTGGTTAGTGAGCTCAGTCCACTATATTTTGAGGGTGAGCTCAGTGCCCAAAGGGAAACTGAGGACTGACATCTGAACTGACACAAGTAGTGGTATTTCCTGGAGCAGAAAGATACCTTGATCAGGAGGGATACAGCCTGGGAACCCCAACCTGTAGCTGTACTGGAATACTGGCTAAGGTGCTTCTGGACAACCTGTAGGTCCTTCCTCATGCACACCAAGCAGCATTCCAGCCAGGCGGACAACGCTCACCAGCCCTGTATAGCTCTAGCTGTTTCCTCAGACAGCCACAGGCTTTCATTAAAGGCCCTGCCCACTTTCTGGTACTTGTGTTGCAGTGTAGCTGTGTCATCCAGGCATGACATGATCATTGCTGTGGCAAAGCAGAGCCACTGTGGTGGCCTATAGAAGACTGTAGCTCACAGCCAGGGCAATGAAACAAGCAGAGCAGCCCAGTGGTTGCTAGGTCCATGGTAATGGTGGTGAGGTCATTAACATCCCACAGGAAAGGAAGGAAGAGTCACAAGACCCTCACCAGAGATTCCAGTTACTGCTTCCTTCTGCCCCAAGCTGCTGTGGTCCTGAGGGTTGGGTGTTTGACTATTTAAGCATATAGGAGGTAGAAGGTTAAAGGGAAGGTGCAGCTTTTTTCCACTAGGGGTGGAACTTTTCTGTGATGCTGATCCTTTATGTAACTCCAGTAAACTCACTGGTTTATCAAGCTGCACTTGCGGACAGTTGTTTCTTTGGTCTATTGATTCCCTTACTACATGGGGCAAATATATATTTCTTTATGTCTCCCCAAGAAAAATCACACATGTATTTAGAATGAAACCTCTGGGGTTTTGTCCTAGTGGATTGGTGCTAGGCTTCCCCTCTGAAGACAGGCCTGACCAGAGGATGCCAGCTCCATACGCCTTTCCATGAAGCATACAGCAGACCTCTGGGTACAAACCTTGGCTCTATTGCTTACTGCCTTTCTGATCTTGGAAAAATGTCTGGGTTGTTCTGTGCCTCAGTTTCCTCACCTAAACCATGAGTTCCTATAAAAAGAATGTGCACCGTTATTGATTAGGTGAGATCTTCATGAAGTCCATGGCTTCTGATGCAGCAAGTGTCAAAGAGTGTGAGGCCCAGGCTTGAGAGGCAGTGGAGACCTCATTTTATAGGGGAAACCGAGTTCAGGGAATAGCAGGACTTTATCCCAGCTCCATAGCAATCTTGCAGGTACCTGGATTCCTGCCTGGCTCCCATACTGTTCACCTCATTCACTGGACTGCTGAGGTTTACAGCTCTGTGGTCTCACTCTTAAGTCATTTCACTGTCCCATAACTCTGTGCAGTGCCACTCAAGGAGAATCAGAGTCCCAGGTTAGAAACTACAAGAATAACCTCATTATAACTGAAAATTGATGGACTGCCCACAGTTCTGAAAGAAAAGTTTTTTCAGAATCTTAGAGTATAAAATGTTTCAATCTGCAGCTGTTACTGCAGACTCTGATCTTGAGCACCTAATCCTCCTGCCTCCACCTCCCAAATACTGGGATGATAGGCCAGCACCACTACACCTAGCTCGGATTTTGGTCTTAGTGAGCATCTCCTCCTCTGTATTTGGCCATGGCATGAGACACGACTACAAGGCAGGCAGACTGATATGAAGTGGTAGGTTGATCTTATCTTTGGAAGGGCCATATATGTCTTAACTCTGAAAATGAACATAGCCCCAGATCTTCCAGAGCCCAAGGGTGTGTGTAATGTGAGATGAAACCAGTGATGAGGCAACACGTGCCCTTTTTGCTTTATGATCAGATAACTAGAAATAGTCTCCACTAGTTGGTTGATTACCTACAGCCAGAGATGTTGGCCCCAGCTACGTCCTCTCCAGAAATGCCTTCCTCTTTCTGCACCCACACCTCCACCCTTTCAACTCTCTTTCATAGCCTACCTTTTCCTGGAAGCCCACTCTCTGAACACATGGAGCCTAGTTCTCACCATGAGATCTAGTGCAGAAATCTACCAACTCACATTGTGTAGATACTGTTGGTGCCTTGGTCCTTGATATTTCTGTGCATACAGTGGCTTCACTGTAATAATCGATGATTCCCTCTGCAAAGAATGCTCAGGTGGCTAGAAGGAAGTAAGGTTGTTAAGAATACCTAGGTAGGGCCAGGCGTGGTGGCGCACGCCTTTAGTCTCAGCACTTGGGAGGCAGAGGCAGGTGGATCTCTGTGAGTTCAAGGCCAGCCTGGTCTACATAGTGAGTTCCAGGGCAGCTGGGGCTACAGGGAGACCCTGTCTCAAACAGACAATAAAAAAAACAACAACAACAACAAAAAAAACCCCACCTAGGTAGGGCAGTTCTCTCAATGATGAGAAAAAAAAAATCAAAGCACACATGTAAGGGGACCCTACTTTCTATCTGTAGAGTGACTACAAAAGGACTAAGCATAGCTCTCGTTGCTGGTGGGAGTTTCTTTGAAAAATGAGCACTTTGCAGGGCTGAAGAGATGGCTCAGAGGGTAAGAACACTGATTGTTCTTGCAGAAGACCTGGGTTTGAATCCCAGCACCCACATAGCAGCTAACAACTACCTCTTCCTAACTCCAGTTCCAGGGGATCCGATGCCCTCTTCTGTCCTTGGCAGGCATTGCACAACACGGGTGCACTTGTTATAGGACAGAGTTTGTAAAAAAATCACCAACACCACTTTAAGAAAAGTAACAAGGTAAATTTTAATTTTCGACCGGCCGGGCTGTCTATCTCGGGAGTAGAAGCTGCCCTGATGATTGTCAGGTCAGAGTTTTTATAGGATTACAGAATTATTAAAACAGGACACTTGTGAACCAATCAGGTTTGTACAACATAGCAGAATTTTGACTCTATTAATCAACAACCAATCATTATACAGCCATATAACTTGGTAATCAACTTTGTGACCTTAAAACTAGGCAACTGTTTTAGCCATAAGTATAATAAGACAGTCAAGGTAAATGACTTCCAGGTGATCATACAATAACAAGATAACAAGAGTGGTCTTATGCCCTGTGTCAAGGTGACCCAAGACAGCAAGCGGGTTACAGAAGCGAAAACAAGCTGGTTAGTCAGATGTATAATGTCTGGAATTAGCACATTTCCATGATTCATGGCTAGAGCAATTTTCCAAGACCCAAGGTTGCCCCCCTTTTCCTTTTGGTGTGGAGCAAAGTTGCTGCTGAAATGGCTCTGAACAAAATGGAGTAACTTAGGGAAGTTTGCTGAGCCAGTTCAAATAGATGCAGGCAATACAAAATTACACACAAAAAATAAAATATAAAAATTAAAAAAAATCTAGCACTTTCCTATACAGTTCAACATACACACCGGAATTACTCCAAAGAAATAATATGCCTACAATTTGTGCAAGGCAGCTTTATTCATAATAGACTTATGAAGTAGGAAAACTTAGAAACCACCCCAGTGTCCAACATGTGAATGGACAGGAACAGAGAATATGACTGTTATTCAATGGAAAACACTTAGCAACTCAAGTATGACATAGATGAATCTCAAAAACATCATGCCGTGTAGACGGATAGGTGGCTGATGTCCCTAATTTCAGCACTCGGCTGAGGAATGATCCAAGTTCCAGACCAGATCTGTCTACAGAGTGAAACAGTTTCAAACAACAAAATCAGTGTGTGAATAAGTCACCGGAGACTATGTTTTTTCATGTTTCTATTTATACGAAGTTCTAGATCTGGCAAAAATGTTGGGACAGAAACTCCAATAGCTGATGCACGAGGGAACACGTCACTGATGACGATGTCAAATATATACATTTGACAAAATGCCTCACTGTACGTTTTGTTGCGTGTACGTTTGATCTTAAAAAATTTTTTTTTTACTTATTATTTTTATTTATGTGTATGAGTGTATTGCCTGCGTGTATGTGAGTACACCCGTGTCGTGCAATGCCACGGAGGTCAGAAGAGGGCTTCGGATTCTCCTGGAACTGGAGTTAAGGACGGTTCGTAGACTCCATGTGGGTGCTGGGAATTGAACCTGGGTCCCTCTGTAAGAGCAGTCAGCGCTCTTAACCGCTGGGCCATCTTTCCAGCCCCTTAAAATGTGTAGCCCAGACTGGCCTCGAACTCGTGATCCTCCCACCTCGGCCTCTTCAGAATATCCTACCGGCGTGCGCCACCACAACCGGCGTACGTTTGATTTTTATCTCAATAAAAACGTTCATTCTTGATCACTTCGAAAGTCACACGGACCCATGAGGATTGGCAAACAAATGGCTCAAAGTAACAAAACCCAAAACCACTAGCAGCCAACTCCAGTGACCTAACCATAACGGCTTCTAAGGTCTACGTTCATCCACCCGCTCGGTGTTCGAGATGCGGGTGGCCGCCGGCAGTTAGTTCCCTGCTCCTCACCCCGGGTGCCTTGGCGCTGTGGCTCCCGCCCGTCTCCTCCGCCATCCCCGGACCAGCCTCGCCAGGGTTCGGATGCTGCGAGCCGAGAACTTCACAGCCGCACCGCACAGCGAAGCACTCTGGACGCTCTTCCGGCCTCCGGCACGGAGGTGGAAGTCCCGCCCCTCAGGCCTCCCAAGAGGCCTTGCGAAGCGCGACGTAGCCGGAAGCTGCTGGCGGCTGGTGGGCGATCCCGGCTTTTGGTCCAGCTCGGCCGCCCTGCCTGTCTCGAGCTCTGAGGCCGTGCTCGGTCTGCAGGTTAGAGCGCTGCCTGGATCCCGGGACTCGCGGACCCGCATTCCCCGGGCCTTCCGGTCCTTCGATTCCGGTGCACCCGGTCCCCGATATCGCGGCTCCAGGCCTACGGTCTCCTAACACCCCGACTCGCCGACGCCCCTGGTCCCGGAGCCTTCAGCCCCGACTCCCCAGGCTTCTGGTGCCCCCGGTCTCCCGACCTCCTATTTCTCGGTCCCCCGGCCCCGCGGCGCCCGCAGGCCCCCCAACTTTTGGATCCCGGTGCGTGGCAGCCCCCTTGCGCTCGCAGACCTCCCCGCCACCGCCAGCCCAGACCCCACGACCTGGTGTTTACACGGCCCTGCGTGTCCCCTTCAGCACTCTGCTCACCCGGTCTGCATAGTCCAGTCGGCTGGGAAAGGCCCACTGCTTTTCACCGTCGAAAGGTCTGTCTGGACGTGCCAGGAAGCCTCAGCTCGTTTGGTCGCTCTCCTTGGCTTCTGACGTGAGTACCCTGCCAAGGAAGAAGCGGGGGGGGGGGGGGGGGACACGACGACACAAAACCAGGCTCCTAAAGTTTTTCTCAGTTTTGCTTGGATTTAGAACTGTGCTTACTGGTTGTCCTCCTAAGGCCACCACGGTCATCAGTTCTCAGAAGTAATTCTACTCTGTCCCAGGCTTCCTGTTCCTGCTGTACTGTGTTGACAGTTGCAGAGGCAGGGCTCCTAACTGTGGTCCTGGGTAAGGTAGCTCTTACATGTGGTTCAGAAATAATTTGTTCTTCAGGACAAGGAAACACATTGTTCTTAGACATGGGTTTTGTGTGTGCTCTGGGCAGTTCTGAGAGGTGATTAATATATTTCCCTGGCCCTCATGCTTACAGCCTTAGGGCAGAGCCATGCCCTTAAATGTCGATTTTGATCTCAGAGGTTCAGCTAGTGTGCCCCAGCATAAGGACCAAGTGCTCTGTAGTCTGATGTGTGGCTTAGTGAAGTCTGAAAATGTTCTCATTTGCTTCAGTATTTACTGAAGTTATGTCTACTTAAAGGATGACTGTTCCATCTTGATTCCAGTTCTTAAAAATTCTTAGAGATAGGTAAGATGGATTAGCAGGTCAAGGTACTTGCCATCAAGTCTGACTACTTGAGTTTGGTCCCTGGAACTTACAGGGTAAAGAGATACCTAGCTACCACAAATTGTCTTTTGACCTCTACACAGGTGTTGTGTACACACACACACACACACACACACACACACGAAATAAATGTAAAATAAAGAGTTCCTGAACCATTTTTTGAGCTGTATTTGTGCTGATGAAAGTCAGGAGATACTTGTTTTCATGTTATTAAACAGCATTTCAGATGACTAGGGTGTGCCAAATATGAGAGAGTTCCTTATAAATCTAAGCCAAGGCATTTACTTTCCCACATTTCCTCCTTCCAGTAGCTTCAGCCTTATTTTACACAGAAATTCAGAGTTACCTCATCTGATCCTAACTGCTGCCTTCTTTGCTTCTGATGTGTGGTAGTGACTACTGGAGGGCAGGCACAGTGCTTTGGACAGTGACAGGACTGATGCAGAGATCTGTATTGGTGTTGACGACTGCAGTTCATGAGCTATTGGAGAAGAATGTGTTCTTAGGGCTTTGTAAACTCAGACCTACCAGGGTCTCTCCAGATACTCTAAACCACCTTGAGCTGTACGTGAGTAGATGCCTGGAGAGATGACTGCTGCCTGAGTAAATCAGGTCAGGGCCTGAGTTCTATATGCAGGAGCCTATGTTTGGGTGTTCATAGTTTTAGAACTTTTTTTTGGCATAGAGTTGCAGAGTAGAAGGAAGCTAGAGAGAACTTAGGATTTAGTTTGAAACAGTTATAGAAACAAATACTTCTTTTTAAATTTTTTTTATTATTTTCATTTTATGTGTATGCATGTATTGCCTGCATCATGTAGGTAAGTGCACCCATGTCGTGCAATGCCTGCGGAGGACAGAAGAGGTTGTTGGATTCCCTGGGACTAGAGTTACTGACAGTTGTTAGCTGCCATGTGGGTGCTGGGATTTGAACCTGGGTCTTCTGCAAGACCAGTTGGTGTTCTTAACTGCTGCACTATCTCTCCAGCCCCAAGAAACAAATACTTCTTAACATAAAACTGCTTAAAAGGGGTCCTAGTCATGCTAAGAGGTCAAGATGCAGGAGAATTGGTAGGTTGAAAGTCAAAATTCCTTTTGGTGAACACCATTTTTCTGCAGACTTAAATGGAAAGCGATCAGGAGACAGTACTGAAAACCTATAGCTTCTGTCACTTAAGAGAATACTTACACTTTCTGTATATATACTGCCCTGTGGGTTAGAGGGAGCAGCATATGGTAGGTCCATTAAGAAGGATGAACTCTGGAAAGACCACATGTTGGTGGGCTGGCAAAAGGAGATGGCTAGAGGCCCGAGGTCCTCCTCCAGTCCCCTCAGTGCAGGTATAGGCAGAAACAGTGTGGTTAGTTTATAAGGGATAGGGAGATGGTTCAGTGGGTAAGAACACTTTATGTGCAAGCATGAAGACCTTAAGTTGAATTCCCAAATACCCACATAAAAGCCAGATATGACATGCCTGTAACCCCAGTGTTGGGGGATAGAGACAAGCAGATCTCAGGAGCGCACTAGCCAGCTAGCCTAGCTGAAATGGTGAGCTCCCGGTTCAGTATCTCAAGGGAACAAAGTGGAAATTGGTAGACAGTGACACTCACTGTCGTCCTCTGGCCTCTACTTTTGGGTACACATGCACACATAAGAAAGAAGGAAACGAAGGAGCGCCTCCTTGCTGCTCTCCCCACCAATTACCCTGTTCCTCGCAGTGACAGATCTGGTGGTCCGGAACCATTGTCCTTTCCTATGGCTGCACTCGCTCACCTTCATCCTTCAGATAGCCCCACAGAGGATCTAGTCACATACCACCCAGCACCATTGCCAGGGACGCTTCCTTGCCCCTTGTCACAGTCCGAGGACATTCTACACCAACTTGGAGAGCTAGAGGAATGGTGGGGAGTGTAGAATGCTTTCCTCCCCACCACAGTGTTTCCCTTTCAGGCAGGGAAACAGATAACAGCCCATCTTCTTGTGCTTTGTAAGGCTACCCCTTGTGAGTTTTACTGCTAAATGACAGGGCTTTTCATCACACAGTGGCTGAACACTTACTTATGGCATTCCTAATCACTGCTGCTGTGGCCTGGAGCCTCCCCAATGAGGAGAAGCACTTCCTCAGTAGGTGGCTCTTACACTGCCCGAGGGCAGCATGTCCCACTGTCCCTTTAGAGCAGCCTGGTAGAAGATGATGTCATATTAGCATGATGTAATGTTTTTGAGCCACCGGTTCATTTTCGTACTTAGTAACCCCTTGTAAAGATTTTTTTTCCTCCTTTGTAGCAACATGGCCAGCCCAAGAACCAGAAAAGTTCTTAAAGAAGTCAGGGCGCAAGATGAAAACAATGTGAGTGTCTGCCTTCGAGCTGGGCCTGGTGGGCTGGTTATGTCCTAGTGTTAGGTGCAGTGTGGGTCTGTGTCTCCTTGGAGGGGCTGATAGCGTTGTAGGGGTGCAACCAGCTGTTCTTGGTGGTCATTGGTGTAGCTGTAGGGACTGGGGATCCTGCTGTGCTGCTCAGGTTGTGCTGAAAATGCTTAGTCTCCTTCTCGAATTTTTTCTCACATGATAAGTTCTTTCCGTTCATACCAATTTCTGAGCAGGTTCTGCCACCCCCAGCTTTGCCCTAGACCCACATTCTCTGGCCAACCTGAGCAGTCCCGTCAGACTTACTGGCACTAACTCTTTGGTCTAGTCCTTGCACATGTGGCCAGCCCCTCTTCTGCATCCTCTTGGGATATCTTTTGGGTCTTTGGGATCCTAACACTGCCCTGAGCTGCCTGGTGAATTGTATGTGGCTCCCCTTTGCAGGTTTGCTTTGAGTGTGGTGCATTCAATCCTCAGTGGGTCAGCGTGACCTATGGCATCTGGATCTGCCTGGAATGCTCCGGGAGACACCGTGGGCTTGGGGTGCACCTCAGGTCAGTGTCCTGCTACTCAGTCCATGCAGATCCCGTGTCTCTTCTACTCTCCATGTTGCGGGGACCTCCTGTCTGACAGGAAGCTTGGGGGCTGTTCTCTATCTTCTTTAGTGGCCCTCACTCCACTAACACTGTGTTCAGGCTTGTCAGCTGCTGGCCAACTTGTCTCCATGTAGCTTCTGGCTTCTGGCTTGCCACAGGAAGCACCTATTTCTGGCTCAGAATGTGAGCTAGATGGGAAAGCTACTGGGTAGCCTCATACTTGGCAATCTGATCAGTCCTCTGGTTTCTAGCTTTGTGCGCTCTGTTACAATGGACAAATGGAAGGACATCGAACTGGAGAAGATGAAGGCTGGTGGAAATGCGAAGTTCCGAGAATTCCTGGAGGCGCAGGAGGACTACGAGCCCAACTGGTCCTTACAGGACAAGTACAGTAGTAGAGCTGCGGCACTTTTTAGGGATCAAGTAAGGACTGGTCTACCTTGCTTCCCACGTACATGCACACACAAAATATGTACGTACTTTCATGGCGGCCAGAATGTAGCTTTAGTGGCTCTGGGAGGCAGGTTTCTTTTCTCACTTGGGACATCTGTGGATGCCTCATCCAGGTCAGGTTCTTCCTGCCCAGAGGGAAAGTAAATGGCCCATAATTAAAAGGAAAAATGGATCAGTGAGTATGGTTCCTCTTAAGATAGCTTAGCTACAGAGGCTCTAAGAAGTCAGGCAGCCCTTAGATCAGGGGCCAAATAAGGAGTCCTTCTATGTTTGAAGTTGGAGCCACGCTGGCCAGTAACTAATACTTATTCTCACAGTTTGTGGGAGATCTGGTCTATGGCCCAGTAGTACTGGCATTTGGGGTTGGATGTGTTTGAGTAGATGGTACACCTCCTAATCTATTTTGGGTCCTTTTGTTAGGTTGCCACTCTGGCAGAAGGTAAAGAGTGGTCTCTGGAGTCATCACCTGCCCAGAACTGGACTCCACCTCAGCCCAAGATGCTGCAGTCCACTGCCCACCGGTAGCTCCTCTGGCCTGGTCAGACCTCCACTCTAGCCTCACTTTAGTGGTAGCTCATAGAAACCATACTTCTACCACTCGTGGAAATAGCTCCACTTGTGAGCTGTTCCCTGAGATCAGAGTGAAAAATAGCTTTTTAAAACTATGGAAACAGTACAGACTTTTAGTAAATGAAGAACTATCTACTCAGTGAAGATACATCTGAAATAAGTAGCATCCCCCATGTGTGGGAGGGTTGGCACTTCTGGCAGGTGTGTCATGCAGCCCCAAGAACAGCAGCCTGGGAATATAGGTAGTGTTTTTTTGGCATATGGTCACTTCGTGAGTCATCCCATAGTGCAGGCCCCAAGGTGGTGCAGGTCCTTGGTGCACACACCAAGTTCCACTGTGGGGAAAATCCCCTCTGGAGACTGAAAGCGAATGAATGGGGCACAGGAAGCTACTGTGCACTGGTGACAACACCTCCTCTGTCCCCATGTCCTGCAGGACCTGATCAGAAGGTCCTCCTGTCACCAATGGCTTAAGCCTATTTCCTGACCCTGATCCCTTGCTGCCTTTCCTGGCTGTCACAGAACCCACTGTCAGATGCTGCTAGGCTGTGAGGTGGGGAACTCCTGAACTTTCAGCAGCTATGTCCAAGCATCCCGTGGGCCAGAGCTGGTACTAGCTTGACTTCAGATGTTATATGAAGGCCCCTGCCACACAGACCTTGTGGTTTCAGTTGGTGGTGTTGAGGCCTTGCACACCTCCTAGTGCTGGCCTCATTGACATTCTGTTTTCCATTTCAGACCCTCTGGGCAGCCACAGAATGTGACTGCATCTGGGGACAAGGCTTTCGAAGACTGGCTGAATGATGACCTGGGCTCCTATCAGGGGTAAGGTCACTCAAGCCAGAGATAGTGACAGTTGGCTGGGGGCATCTTTGGCTACACTGCAGGGGTTTAGTCCCTTGGGTTAGGGTTCTTTCCTTTAGGATGAGGTGGGCCTGCTCTTCCTGTGTGCTTTCACAGTGTGTATAACCCAGAGTCTAATTGTGGCAAGGCCCAGATAACCCAGGTTTGAATGTGGAGAAAATCCAATACTTAAAGACAATGCATTTTCTTCCTGGAATCTGCCTGGTCTGTAAATGATGCTTGATGCTTCCAGTAACCCCAGTTACTAAGTTTGGGTCTTGCTGGGGACACTCGGGTGATGTGATGGAAAGTATCTGCATAGCCTTTGTGCCGCTTGTCACAAATGCAGTGTCCTGTGATGGGGAGGTGGCCCCTCCTGTGGAGGTGAGGATCGTGGTTGAGGAGTGGCAAGGTTTGTGACCGAGACTGGTGTGTCTTTGTTCCCTTCTAGGGCACAGGAAAATCGCTATGTGGGGTTTGGGAACACAGTACCACCTCAAAAGAGAGATGACGACTTTCTCAACAATGCAATGTCATCCCTGTACTCGGTAAGGATGCCTAGGTTGTACAGAGTGCCCTGTGGCAGACCTAGCCAGAGAGATTGCCTAGTACTAACCAGGGAGGACCCATTATGGCAGTGTGGACAGTCCTGGGGTATTCGCTCTTTGTTTGGTCTGATCACAGGACCCTTTGTACATTCAGTGAAGAGTTCTCTTTTAAAAATATAACTTGCTGGGCATGGTGGCACATGCCTTTAATCCCAGCACGCGGGAGGCAGAGGCAGGCAGATCTCTGTGAGTTCGAGGCCAGCCTGGTCTCCATAGTGAATCCAGGCCAGCTGGGGCTACAGGGAGACCCTGTCTCAAAAAGACGAAAAAGAAGAAAAAAAAAAAGTAACTTGCTTTGTTCATAGTTCAGATGTATTCAGCCACTTAGCAACTCTGGCCGTAAAACATATATTTCAAATATATGCCAAGGTAGAGTCCTCAAAGAACGGAAGATATTTAAAAAATATATTTTATTATTTTTATTTTTATTTCATGTGTATGAGTGTATTGCCTGTATGTTTGTCAGTGCACCCATGTTGTGCAGTGCCCACAGAGGTCAGAAGAGGGTGTCGGATTCCCCTGGAACCAAAGTTATAGATGGCTGTTAGTGACCACGTGGGTGTTAGGAATGGAACCCGGGTCCTCTGCAAGAGCAGCCAGTGCTCTTTAAGTGCTGAGCCATCTCTCCAGTTCCAGAACTGAAGGTTTTTGATGAAGCCTGCATAGCTGTCCTTTCCAGGGCATGTGTTGTGCTCAGTGGGAAGCTGACCCAGCCTCCTGGCCCCTGTGCTGGGTAGGCCAACCCTGGAGACAGAGCCTATGGAGAGACAGGACCCAGGGCTGCCCAAGTGCTGCCCTCTCCTACAGTGTGGTGTTTGGCTTTGAGGATATCTGCCTGTTTTCAGGGCTACTTCTGGTCACCTGGAAGCTCCAGATCAGATGTTTTGGGCTTGCTTTTCCAAGGAAACTAAACTTTTCTAGGCTATTTATTTTCTGTGTTGTAGTCTGCTGTAATCACAATTGCAAGCACCCTGAGGGACCAGCAGGGGTTGCTGTGAAGTGGCATTCATTCATGGATACTACAAGTGAAAAGATGAGGAAGGGCTTTTTATACTGATACCAAATCCTCAGAATATACTAAGTACAAATAAGCTGGGTGCAGAAGAGGGTGGATGCCCTGTGTGAGCAGGGACAGAACAAAGGAGTCTGCTTTCTTACCTATGGCCTGTGTGCACAGAGTCTGGACTGACAGGCACAGATGGGAGACTGATGCTGCCTTCTTTAAACCATGAACATTTATTCCTCAGTGAATGAATTTCTTTTTCTTTTCTATTTTTCTTTATTTATTTTTTGGTGAGATAGGCTTTTCCTTGTAGCCCTGAGTATCCTAGAACCCATATAGGGGCTGGCCTGCTTCATTCTCCTGAATGTTGGAACTAAAGTCATGAACCACATCTGGCTAAAACATTTTTTAAAACTAAAGCTGGGCATGGTAATGCACACCTGTAGTCCCAGCACTGGGAAGGCTGAGACAGGAGAATTGTAAGTCTGAGGCCAGCCTGGGTACATAGTGAGAGCCTGTCTCAAAAACAAAGATTTGTTTAAAACTGCCCTCTTTGCCCCCAAAGAGCACCACTGTTAGCTCTTAGGAGGTTCAGCATGCGTGTAGAGTGGTCTGGGAGGGTGACATACAAGGCTTTGGTGGCTGCAGTCACTTTTCCTGCGGTTACACTTGTCTTTCTTGAGGGCAGAAAAGCTTAAAGCCTGTTGTGGAGTTTTCTTCATAGTCCCTTTCCATTAGTTTTGAATCTGTCTTCTCCGCCTTCTGCTGATGTCCTCTGAGGAAGACAACTGAAAACAGATGTCTCCTAGAGTGTAGGGTTCCTCTACACTCCCTTTAGGGGAAAGAGCCAGGTGTAATTTAAGTGAGGTATTTCTATAGTGAAGTAGAATTAATGTACCTTAGCAGGTGTGGGGGGGTAACCTTAAATTTAGAGGGAGGCCTGTGACCCCTGCCTACCCACTATCTGTTCGTCTGCGGGAGGCAGGGAGGAGTAAGTAAAGAAGTGAACTAGCTCAGCAGACTCCCTGTGTGTCTGCCATGAGGCCTGTCAGCCTTCCTGTGCTCAGGGTTGGTGTTTGAGTCCTTCGTCTTAGGAAGGACAGTGCTGATGGCAGACTATGCTGCAACTGGTGAGGGGGCATGTGGATACTGCAGCACCTGGCTGCCTCTGGCTGTTCATAGGAGTTGCTGGGATTAGAGATGCCCTCTGTGGAGCCCTCCTGTGCTGAAGTATCAAGGGTGTGGCACAAACAGTCTGGGAAAGCCATGCCCAATGATTCTCTGTTGCCTCCTTAGGGCTGGAGCAGTTTTACAACTGGGGCGAGCAAGTTTGCCTCTGCAGCTAAGGAGGGCGTAAGTAACTGAGATTCATACCATTCCACACTGGCTTAGGGTCCTTTCACACACAGGTCTCCACCTGCTAGCAGACAGGCCTGAGCCTTTGTTCACTGCAGGATGGCCAAAGAGCCCTTGCTATGCAGAAGTTATTTCTCTTATGTGTCAGAGATAAGCTGTCTGCAGAGATTGATGTGCCCTCATGACGGTGGGGATAGACTGGATCCCTAGAAAATAGATGGTGGGTACTGGTGCCTGAATTTCTGCCTCCTGGTCTTCGGAGTAGTGTTGGAATACCCTAGCTCCTAGCTCACTCACTTTTGCTTAAAATGAAAGGAGAATTCAAGGGTCTAATTGGGACAGACTGTGCTTTATGGGGAGCATGTCTGGCTCTGGCAGTGACCTGGCAGGCACAGATGGGAAGTCAGATGGTACTGCCAGGAGCAATGACTTGGGATCTGGGGCTGGGCTATGTGGCCATGGTCCTAAGAGGAACAGGGATAGAGGTAGCTTGGTCCACTGACCCAGAGCAAACAGACCAGCAGTGCCCACAGCCATCCAGACAAGCTGGAAGCCACTGAATCTGCTCTCCCTGTCCATTTGCTATGGAGCTGTTGCTGGCTGCTCCCTAGGTCTGTGTTTCCTCATCCCTAGAAAGGCTGGTGCCAGGAGAGATCTGGTTACCTTCCAAAAGCCTAGGCATCTATAGACAGGTCTGTCTTTCCTCGCGTGTCAGCAGTTGGGGTGCCAGGCAGCTGCATGTCTAGATGTGCTGGGTACTGAGCTGCCCCATGTTAGGCAGGTAGAGCCTGGGGCAGCTACTGGGCCCAAGTGTATTCTAACCCTAGCAGTCTGTCTACCTATCCCAGCATCTGCCAAGGCAGGCCTCCCTGCAGCAACTTAGCCTCTCAGAGCTGTGGGTGGTTGCTAGGAATGAGTCCTGGAATTGACCCCACCCCGTCCTCACAGGAATGAAGCCTTATGACCAGGGTTAAGATCTTTGGCTGAAAAATTCTCCTTTTGTTTTTTTCTTTTAGGCTACAAAATTTGGATCCCAAGCAAGCCAAAAGGTAAAAAGAGGAAGCTTTTATCCCCTGATACGTTTTAAAACTCTTGAGTCTGATGTCACATGGAGTGTCTAGAAGTGCCCTGGGCTGGGAGCTCAGGCCCAGGTCCTAGTGCAGAAGTGCTCTTCTTCTGCCCTCGTGCATCGGTGTGGCTACCTCAGTGCCTGCAGTTGCTAGAACAAGAGGCTTCTGCTGCTCAGGGCCTTCCTGTCCACCATAGCCAGTGATAGGCATGAAGCCATTGTGCCCTAGCTGCCTCGTATGGAAAGGATTGTGTAGGCCGTGGCTTTCAGCCTTGAGTTGCTTGGTTGAGAAAGGTGTCACCACAGGCCCACTGGGTGACTTGATTTGTGTGTATTGAGCTGTGGCAGCCTCAGGCTTGCTGATTTTTCTTCCAAACTTGAGTGTAAGTTGTCAGGAGGTACTCAGGGCTCTGGTGGACTCTCCTTCATTGTGCAGTGGGTAGGGTTTCAGGACCTGTCCTGTGCCCTGCATGAGGAGGCAAGTTCTCACAGGCCATGTGGCCCTGCGGCGGCCTACAGCACTCTACATTTGAACACTTCCCACCTTGCAGCCCTAGCGATCCACCTCCTTGGTTGCCTTGGAACTTCTAAGTCAGGCTTCTGAGGCATATCATGGGTTCTAGACTGTGGTAAGTTTAGAACAGAGAAATACCAATGCCAGGAACTGAAGCAGACTGTTGTGGGTCTGGTGCAGCCATTAGAAACAGTTCAAGATAGTTGTGGTGGTACACAGCTCTAATCCTGGCAGAGCCAGGGTTGGTGGCACACACACACCTTTAATCCCAGCACTTGGGAGGCAGAGGCAGGTGGATCTTTGTGAGTTCAAGGTCAGCCTGGTCTACATAGCAAGTTCCAGGCAAGTTGGGGCTACAGGGAGACCCGGTCTCAAAAAGACCAAAAGAAAAAAAGTTCAGGTGAAGGGTTTGTTCTTTAGTGCTTCTGGGTGTTATTAACCCTGCTCCCACCACCTGCTTTTTCTCTGTAACTGCCTTCATGCCATCTGGGTCAAGTTTTGGGGTTACAAGCAGCAGCCAGAGCCGGTAAAACCTTGCGCCTGCTGGTGCATGCTGCCCTGCATATGCTGAGAATGTGCTTTGCTCCAGTTGTGTCTCCCCTCATGCATTGGTCACCTGTGTGCTGCACCTGTACCTCCCTGGCCTGTTGGATGGAGAGCTCATCTTCCCCAAGATCCACAGTCCAGCTATTGCCAGAGCAAGGCCAGCTGGGCCTGGGGAGACCTGGGAAGAAGGGCTGCTTAGCTCAGTTTTCATTTCATGCCTTAATATCTCAAACCAGGTAACTCCTGGAATCACACCCTGCTCAGAAGGTGCCTTCCTATGTTAAGGATTTTTCTCCTTCATCTGACGTTGCCTTGAGGTGAAGGCCTGAGCATGTCCATAGGTATTTCATAGCTTCATGGCCGCTGTGTGGTGGAACCAGGCAGGAAAGGCTGTGCCTTTCCCCTCTGCCTTTCTACCCCAAACTCTTCCCCATCCCTCCACCCATCCTTCCCTGCAGACTCCTTCTCCTTCAGGTAAAGCTCAGTACCTGTTCTGGGGAATGGCGGGGCAAGTGCTTGCAGTCAGTAAGCACATCCTTCTGACTTGTGATCTGGAGCCAAAACTGCTATAACCGTTGTGAGGGAGCTTCCTTCACCTCATGGTTCCTCCATTCTGGTGTCAGTTCTGGGACCCTGCTTCCCCATGCATATCCACATCCTGCTGCCTTCCTTTCTGTTGACAAAGCCTGTGCTGCCCTGTGATGACTGACTAGCAGTGAATGTTGCTGTGTGAAGCTCATGCAACATCCCTTTCTACAGGCTTCAGAGTTGGGCCACAGCCTGAATGAGAATGTCCTCAAGCCTGCACAGGAGAAGGTATGGGTAACACCCAACAGTTGAGGTGCTCATCTCACTGAGCCCTTAATTTCTTGGGAGATGGGTGTGTTTGGGATCAGCAAGACCCCGCCTCTACCTTTCTCTAGTCCAGGTAGCCCTGGGCCCCTCAGTCTTCCCACTAAGCTCTAAAGGGCCTCCCCGAGCCTGTTCTTCCTTCTGTTCCACTCTGTTGATGGGCAGTGACACCAGTCCTCTTCAGAAGGATGTAAGCCCTGGGAAGGATCACCAGTCCCATCCTCCTTCACAACAGAAGCCCTGGTAGCAGATAGTTTGTCCAAGAAAGCACGGGGTCTTCCTTGTAGTGATGAGATCTTGTGAGGCTGGACTATCTGGAGGAACTTAGTGTGACAGGTCTCTCTGCACTCTGAAGATTCAGTCCCCCTAATGATGCTCTTTAAATCATGCAGGTGAAAGAGGGAAGGATTTTTGATGATGTGTCCAGTGGGGTCTCTCAGTTGGCATCCAAGGTAGGGCCACCTTGACTTGCAACACAGCCAAAGCCAGTCTCCACATTCCAGGCACTGGAGCTCCACAAGGGCCTGAGCCAGCTGTGGCAGTGGCCCCTGCCCTCTGGTTTCTGAGGGTTTGAGGAATATGGAAACAGCTTGGCTTGTGGGGACTCGGCAGCTACTAACCTGTTTCTCCTCTGTCTTGCTGCCATTGGCCTGTCCCTTGGTAAGTGCTAATGCTGAAGTGCTGACACTGTTGCTAGCTGCTGCTGGTCCTGTAACACTCTCAGAGCCTGTGGGAGTGGGCTTGTTGGGTTTCCCAGTATGAGGTACCCTGGTGATGTGGGATACCTGCTGGGCTCCTGCTGGGCACAAGGTCTGTGGTGACCTACAGCTCACCACCAAAATGTTGACTGTGACATGGGAAGGCAATACCTTTTCTCCATGTGCTATTGTCCCATCTGTCACAGCAGATACTTCTGCATGAGGAAGGCAGGGAGCGCTGTTCCCAGCAAACCAAGCAGCTAACATCTTATGTGGCCTCAGCACCACTGCTGTTACTGTGCATGCATGTGTGGCGTGTGTCTGTATGTGACACTCTTCAAAGTTTTGTCCAGGTTTTCTCAGCCAGGCACCATCCATTTCTGTTTGTGTCAGAACCAGAGGTGCTATTTGGAGTGGGGCCCCAGCTTCTTTTCATGTCTTCTTCTAGGTCCAGGGAGTTGGCAGCAAGGGATGGCGTGATGTCACCACCTTCTTTTCTGGAAAAGCTGAAGATCCTTCAGATAGGTAAGCCATGTCCCTACCCCAGACTGTGTCCCTTGGGCTCCCAGAGAGATAGCTAGTGTTCTGGTCCAACAGTCTACCCAGAACTATGTACACAGGCCTTTACTAGAGGCAAAGGGGTACAGTGTCTGCCCTCTCACCCTCTGACTGCCAGGGCCCCTGGCTCATGGGCAAAAGGCTGCATTCTTTTTCTTCAGTGCTCTAGTAAATATGCTCCAGTTTGGACATTTTAGAAATTGTGATGGATGAAAGTGGATTGAAGTAGCAGGGAGCACTCAGTCCCTTCTGAAAGTTTTGATCCCCTTGATACCAGGGTGGAGCCTTACCTCAAGGCCAAGTTTACTCTGTTACGAAGTAAGAGAAAAAGTTCTCCCTCCTGGTAGGATACTCTTACCCATCAGAGTGGCCAGGAAGTGCTTCACAGGGCCTGGCAACCTCTGTCCAGGCAGGTAGAGAACATGAGTCTTCTGTGGGCACTGGACACAGTGATGGGGGTTTAGGGTTCTAAATGTGACCTAGGCTTGTGGAATGTTGGGGCTTATTCTCTAGGACTCCTCAGACCTGGGCAGGTTGGGTACCCTGAAGGACATAGGCAGCACAAGTATCTTGTTTCTGTGACTATTGAGAATTCCTCCCTCTTTGTATAGACCCCTAGAGGCCCACAGCTACCAAAACAGCAGTGGGGACAACTTCCAGAACAGCACCATAGACCAGAGCTTCTGGGAGACCTTCGGGAGTGCTGAGCCTCCCAAGGCCAAGTCCCCAAGCAGTGACAGCTGGACCTGCGCAGATGCCTCAACAGGGAGGAGGAGCTCAGACAGCTGGGATGTGTGGGGCTCAGGTTCTGCATCCAACAACAAGAACAGCAACAGCGATGGCTGGGAGAGCTGGGAGGGGGCCAGTGGGGAGGGCAGGGCCAAGGCCACCAAGAAGGCGGCACCATCCACAGCTGTCGACGAGGGCTGGGACAACCAGAACTGGTAAGGCCCCTGTTGCACCCTGGCCCCAGCCCTCCTGGGTGACTGCTGTGTTTGCACTTTACCCTTCTCGTTCCTCCTTCATTTGATCTCAGTGTGAAGACAGTGGCTCAGGCGGGACTTGAGTCGGTGCTGCCTGCCTGGTGCAGGGTGGCTTTCTCCAAGGCCTCAGGGGACATGTCATCTACCTGCCTCTCAGGTCCTCTGAGCAGCCTTGCTGGACTCAGGGTTCTTGGGACCCAGGCACTGTCTCTGCAGCCTCAGCATGGGCTGAGACTGCAGCCCTGTATAATGTTGTCAGCCAAGCCAGACGTCTGCTTTCGTTGAAATGTCTTAAAAACTAAAGATTTGCTCTAGTTGCTTTTTTCTTCTTGAAGAAAATGCCTGGAGTCTTAAAGCTGGAAATGAAATGACAGAAGCAATACTGGAGCTCGCACTGCCACCAACACCCTCACCCAAGTCCACGTCCTGTGGCCTGTGCTGTGAAACTCTCCTTGTGACCCTCTGCCTTCCCCGCATCAGCCTGTTCGGTCCTCAGTTTGATGGGACAAACCCGCCACAGATGGCCACACGTGGCAACATGGGCTCCTGCTCTCCCTGGACACCAGACTTGAACTTGACCAACCCTGGACAGCTCAGACATGAGGAAAAAAGGAAAGGGGCTGGGAGTAGTCTCCGCAGATTTGCCTCCTGTTCTGGTGTTGGGGAGCATGAGCATGAGAAGGTGGGCCTGATGAGTCGATGACCACTACCAGGGTCAGGGCATCTGACGGGGACCCTCCATATAGGCAGTTTGCCGTGTGTTATGCCCGGGCTTTGTTCTACCCTGGGTGCTGCAGGGTCAGACGCAGGTGAGTGCACCTGGTTGTCTGCTCAGCATGCAGCTGCCCCTCCAGCCGGCCCTATCTGACCCTGTGGACTTACGGAACACTGCAGATGAGGTCTACTATGTGATGTCAGTGGTTGGATCCCTGAGTGCTATGTGCTATGGCTGGAGAGCCCAGCTGGGTCTCTGTCTCCTTAAACCCATTCCTGTCTGACCCTCAGTTTGACCAGCAGTGCATGACCTGAAGCTCCGTGTGGTTTGTTTGCTCCTACCTGCTGGGGTTGAGCTGTTTATGGTACCACTGGGAGCCATCTGGGTCCAAAGGCTTGTGCTTGGCCCACCTTGGTTATTTATGGTTCTCTCAAATAGGTGGTCCTTAGTTGGGGAGCCCTCTTGAGTGCCTTCTCTTCATGTGGACAGGCTACTTCTCAGTGGCCAGGTCTCAAGACATTTCTGAGCCAGGCAGGCAAGTGGAGATACCTAGGACTGGTCACTGAGGGAGCAGCCACAGGTGGATAAGGTCAGAAGTCAGGCTTAGGGTGAGAAGCCACAGGGGTAGATGGGAGCCCACAGAAGGCCGGTCAAAATCCAAGGGGAGCTGAGCATGAAGGAGGGACCTTTACTGGGTGCTGGTATATCCCTAGACCTGAGAACCTGATTCAGTAGGTGCAAAATAGCATGAGGTTGGGTGGTCTAAGGGCAGTGGAATCTACTCTTGGTTCTTATCTGGAGGCTGCTTGCCTTGGGTCATGTTGGGAGTGGGGAATGGCCCCAGCTCCCTCTGGTACTATATTCAGTAAATGGAAAGATTGCATGTTTCAAGGCTTGTTTTAGCAGCTTATCATGGAGTCCTCTAGACTACATCCATGACCTCTCACAAGAGGATGGATGGGGACCCCAGGGCAAGGTGCCAGGGCTTTTGGCTGTTTCTTGCCTTTATATGAGATGCTTGCCAGACAGCATCCCACAAACACCCTAGAGGTCTGCTTCCCTTGGGCACAGGTGAACACAGCTGTGGCAGGCACTTTTGGATTGGACTCCAGAGAGGCAAGGATTATTGGGGGGCACAGAGAGGTGACCTGACAGTCCAGGGGAGGCCAACTGTCTCCCATTCCTCCTGGGAGGCCTCATTACACTGTAGGCCACATTGACTGGAGCTAACCTAACAAGGGGCTGAGCTGCTGTTCTAGGTGACCAGTAACTTGGAAGGTGGGGGAAGAGATGTCCAGTGGCCCTCAGTCTGGGCCTTGGGTGGACAGTAACTGCTGGGGCTAGTTAGGGGTAGGGTCTGACCCACAGCCTGATAGTAGGGGATAGGGAGATTAGACAGCACTAGTGAACAGGTGTGATGAAGTGGCTAAGAGACTCAGAATGTTACTGAGTCTTGATGGTTATGTAAAGAAAGGTACTAACCCAGTGTGCCCACTGGTTTGGCTAGTACCTTGGGCAGGAAGTTTGGAGCAGAATGATTTGAGATGCATACTTCTGGTGGTCCATCAGGTCAGCTGGCCCCTTAGAGTTAAAGTCTACCCTCCCTGTAGCTAACTAGAGGCTAAGACCAAGCTTCAACCAGTCAAGCACCAACCTCATGCAGTACACTTGGCCTGGGACCCTGTACCTTTATTAACATGACTATTTGACCCTAAAGCACCGTCCATGCTCACACAGCCAGCTGTATAGCCAGGCATCTCCTGGCTAAGGCTAACAAGATAGATGTCAGAGACCGCCAGCATCAACAAGGGTGTGGAGGGACTCTGGAGAGAACCCCACCACCCAAGTTCCTGAGAATGAGCAGGCCCTGGGGCACATGCAGGTGGGGTCTTGTTTGAGCAGGGGGCAGCTAGAGGGAAGACTGACCATTCTGTTTTTAGTCCACAAGGGGTTGCAGTGGGTTGGGGGTGGTATGCTTACACAACACTCCATTTCTTGGGCTAGGAGAAGCAAGAGCTCTGATTGGTGTAAGGGCTTCCAGAGCACCTTCATGCAACATGAGGTGAAAGGCACAGGTTAGCCCACACGGGACAGTGCAGAGAGCTAGGGGGTTTATTGAGTATGCATGTGTTCTCAGATGCCTGTGATCTGGCCATGTACATGTGCCACACATGTACCTAGAGATTACCGGGATGAGCTCCTTCACCTGACCGTGGTTAAGACCAGGAATTAGGAACTCTGAGCATTGTGTCAATAAACAGGCTGTGCCTCCCTTGAATGGATTACAGATTGGTCATTGACCAGGACTGCCTGGAGCCATGTGTAACCCTGGTGTCTCCTGGCAAGGGTAGCCTGGTGGGAGCAGTGGCTGTGAATAAGCAGCAGTCAGGGCCCAGTCCCCAGGAGGGGATTCAGCTCAGAGAAGCGCTTAGGGAGGAGGTGTCAGGCACAGACATTAGTAACCCTTGGTTAAGTGGAATACAAGTCATCTACAGTCTAGGAACACAGGATGGGAAGCTTGGATCCCCATCTGTCCTCAGGGCAACCTAGTAGGGAGGCTTACAGGGTCCTGCAAGAGAGGAAAGGCTGACAGACTTGTACAGCTCTGGTACTGTTGGGCTCCTGAGCTAAGCTGGAGTTGAGGGTGGGGTCAGTGCTGGCTGGGAACAGGCAGGGCTTTGAGCTGGGTAAAGATTGGTGAGTTGGGTCAGGGTGGAGTTGTCAAGGCTGGGACTGCCGGGATCCATGGGAGTCCCTAGGCAGGCTGAGCCAGGAACCATGCCTTTAGGTAGAAACTGGGGGCCTGTTTTCCAAGCCTGGTTAGCTGGGCCAGTCAGTACACAGTTGGCAGGACCTAGACTGTGGAGATGTGTTGGGAGGCTGTGCTGGGGGCAGAGCTTACCTAAGCTATGCAGGTGAGAGTGGATCAGGAAGATGGTTGGTGCAGGGGTGTCCCAGGTAGGGGCAGTGTGGGTATGGGATTGAGCCTATTTAATACTAGCTCCCATTCTAGGGCAAAACGAGAAGGAAGGGAATAGAGGCTGTGACCCCATATACTCTAGTGCTGATGGGATCTGAGTGCTGTACCAGCCAAGCAGGCTGACAGATTCTCCTGGACCCAGCACCAATCAGCTCTGCCTAGGGCCACTTGTGCTAGCCTTTGTCCCCAAGTGGCCTTGGGAACGCCTCTGGGATAGGCCCTTTGGAGTGAGACGTGGAGGGGTTGGTCCTGCTGTCCCTGCTTCTCTCTTCTGGTGGGATCCCAGCCCTTTGTGCAATGAGGTCCTTTGTTTTGGGACCACCATTTCATTCTTGGATACACCACCAGGAAGCAGCAGGCAGGGAAGGACGGGGAAGAGATTTAAGGGCGGGCTAAGTGGTGACGTTGAGGAAGGGGGCTGTTTATAAGCCCTGCTGTGGGCACAGCAGGACCAGTGTGGACCGGAAATGAGGGACTCTCCTTGCAACAGAAGGTTGGTGGTTTGCCTGCATCCCTGGGGCCAAGTAGATGGGGTGGGGGTGGGGGAGTACTGGAGGGAGACAACTTTACCTTTCAGAAAGGGGCTAAGGCCCTACAAGCAGAGGGACCAGATACACCCTCAATACCTACCTGGGTCTTAGACACCCAGAGCTGTGGGGATGCAGAGGGCAGATGCCCAGCAGAAAGGAGCTTGTGTTCAACAGTGACCACATTGGCCTTGAGGTAGGAAGATCTGGTGTCAGAGTGTGGATCATGAGGGTTACAGCCATCCATCTAGCACCTTGTCAAATGGGATGGGTCCGTAGCATTGAGATCTTTAATTCCTTGGGAGATGAATACATATTACAGGGTGATCAGCCTGCAGCCTTTGTGCTGGACTGAGCCCTGCTTAGGGAGAGCTGGTTCCCTACAGGAGGTAACCCTGAGTACACAGGTGCTGCTGAGAGTCCTTTGTTCAGTGGGGTAGGGATTGCTCTTCCTCAGGCCCGTATATTCCAGAGTGGGCCATGTTTGTACCCTTTCCCCCAGTGTACACCTCTGGGCAGTGGGCCCTGAGTCACCTTGGCTTCTTTTCCCCATTGGCCCCTTCAAGTATTAGCTCCCAACCTCTTGACGGGTCCCCAGGGCCCCCCAATACTTTGTGCCTCCACCCAGTGTCCTCTGACCTGACTGCTTCTGTTCCAACCAGAATTCAGCATGGGATGTCCCTTTGCCTAGCATGAGGACCCTCATGGTAGGATTACATCTAGGCCAATCCCAGACATTCTGTGGGGCCACTGTGTGTATCTTTTTGTGGATGTAAACTCTAGAAGGAACACAGGAAGACCCCAGTTTGGCTCCAACTCTTACCTAGTTTTAGCCTTAGGCGACATCCCCAAGACAACAGGTCACAGGCCTCTGGGCCCCATACCTACCTGGCCCAAGAGAGTGTATGAAGAAAATGGCTTTCTGGTCAGGGGGGGGACAGATGGGTGGGTGGGCAGTGAAGGATCGTGGCCTCTCCTCCCACAGGCTGTGCACCAAGAGCCCCCGAGGCTCCCACCTCCACCTCTGTCTCTGGATGTGGTTGGGTACCACCCTGGCATATGGGCAGGGACAAGGTAAGGAGGGGGAGCCTGGAGACACTGCCCCCTACATAAGGAGCCCCACTTGACCTTCCCTAACAGACGCTTCCCCATAAGTCAAATGCCTGTTCAGAGCTGTTATAGCAACAGGCAAGCTAGCAGCCAGAGGGTTCTTCACGCTCAGCTTTTGCCTTGACCTTTGGTCTGTGGCCTCTCAACTCTGCTTGGGAAAGCCTTTGTGTGCTCTGTCTCCGCTTCTGCTTTGTCGAGTTTGCTGGCGCACTCTATGTTTACTCCTGCATTGATGCTTTGTTATTCTTTAAACCTTTCAGTGTAGTTTCAGACAGCACACAGCTTAACATAGAGCAAGACTCCTAGTTCCTACCTCCTGGAAGGAAAGGGCCCTCCTACCGGCCTCCCTCTTTGCACTGTCCCCTTTGGGAGCACAGTCATGGCACATCCCTCCACTTCTCTGCATGAGTCTTGGAACAAGAATTTTCCATCTGACCTCCTCCTGTTTGGTCACTCCAGCCTCTCCCCTCTGAGAAAGTCCTCCCCCCCATATCTTTTGTGACACAGGCACTTGGCGAGGGTCTGCGCCGAAGCCTCCTTGAGGAGCTGCTGGCTCGGGTGGGTTCCTGGGAGGCATAGTCCCTATGTCCCAGGAGCCTGTGTTCTCATGCCTAGGCTCAGCTCCCAGGAGTGATATATTTGTTCCTCATGGCACGTGACCCATCTGAATTTGTTTCTGGGGTTACACCAGGGTCTAAGCCACCAGGTTAGGAACACTTCTTCCTGCACTGCCATTCACAGCACTGTGGACAGTTCCAGCCCAGATTGGCCTGGAGCCCCATGGATTTCATTTCTCAGCCTGTCCTCTCCTCCAAGAGGGTGACTGACTATCACATGGGTAGATTCCTTCACTCCATGTGCTCAGAGGAATTCCAAGGTGGAGCCCATGGGCCAGAATTTCAACTGGAAGGAAACCTTCACTGTGGGTGTGGCCAACTTGGTGATTCTGTAAGACCTACCATGATTAGGTTAAGGCAAACCCACTTTTCCTCCTGCTAAGTCCTCTGCATGACAAGGTTGGCCTCATCAGCTCTCTGCAGCGCTGGGTAGACTGAAGCCTCAGACCAACTGGGAAGGCAGGGCCCACAAGTCCAGGCAGCTGGCAGGGAGGTGGGTTGTGGTTTGGGAATGGAGCATGTTCCTATGCTGTCCCTGAGGGAAATTCTGAAGGCCCCCAACACTGCTGGGAGAAGGGAGAAACAGAAGGCTCTTCATAGGCAAGAGTGGGGCCCCTGCTCACAGCTGGCCCATTAGAGCCCCCACCTCATCCTGCCTGACACATTCCTGCCTTTCAGTAGGCCACTCCCAGAGCAGCCAGGCCCATCTGGAAACCAGCTCCTTCTGAATGGATCATTGTGTCTGCCAGTCTCTCTGGGCCCGAGCTTCTGGTGGGAAGGCCAGAAGAAGCCTATCTGTCCCCATTTTCCAAAAATAGCTGCCTGCACTGCAGAGCCCGGAAGCTTCCTGGGAGGTCAGCATAGACCCCACTGCCGCTCTCCTCCCCATTGGCCATGGGCATCCCCACACACAACAGGATTACCCCCACCTTGGTTTCTTTTCCTGTTGCTATGGTAAAAGTCCTGACAAAGCAACTCTAGGGAGAATAGGTTTATTTTAGTTCGTGGATCAAAGTGCAGTCCATCATGGCAAGGACATCAAGGCAGCAGGAGCTTGAAGCAGCTGGTCATATTGCATCTATAGTCAGATAGCTCAGCTTGCTATCTCAATTTTATACCGTCCAGGATCCCCTGCCTAGAGAATAGAATAGACTACAATTAAGGTGGGTCTTCCCACATCAGTTAAAAAAATCAAAAAATCCCTCACAGGTATGCCTAGAGGCTCATCTCCCAGGTGATTCTGGATTCTGTCAGGCTGACACTATCACACCCCCACCTCCAGCTTGAGAACTGCAACTCCATATACATAACTCACGTGCCCATACGCATGAGTGCACACAGACACACCGCATGCACACAAGCAAACAGCCTTCACCACATTCCCAGCTGGGGTCTTTCACCTTCCACAAGGGATGTGTCAACCTAGTGTGACCTTGGCGGGTGGAGGGATCTGCAGAAGCACAACCATTTCTCCTATAAGCCTTCTCAAGACTCGGAAACCAAGGCAGCTGCCAAGGCCCCGGGCAGGGTCAGCAACTGCTGCTTTGGCTCTGCACCTCTAGTCATCACAGGTACTAGATGGGTGCTGGTCTGAGCCTTCCTTGAAGTGGGGCTCCCTTAGGTGGGACTAGACTCCCTTCTACTGAAGTTACCAACATGGCCCTGTCATTGAGGACCCCAAGGACATAGGTTTCTTCCTCCTAAAATCCCTTCTATGGGACCAAGGCTCTTCAGACACCTGGGTGGGCTACACCCCAGAGAGACCTCCAGAATAGGGCTGTGCCCCCTCAAACCTCTGGGTCAGAGGTCAGTCATCCACCCATCCTGTTTCTGCAGTAAGTAGCCGCCTGAGGCTGGCAGTGCTGCCCGAGGACCGGCTGCAGATGAAGTGGAGGGAGGCAGAGGGAAATAGCCTTGGCTACTTGGTGCAGGTGACACCCATGGCAGGTAAGGAGCCCGTGCCTGTCTCCCAGGCTCCCTCTTCTCTTCCCTCTGTTAGGACTATTAGAAATGGATCTGAGGAAAATGACTACATAATTATAAATACTTTGGCAAAGCAAAAAGTTTTACTTTTGCGAATGCAAAGGGGCCGGTCTTGTGTGGTCAGAGCTCAGCCTCACTTTCTTACACAATTGGCTTAAAGTGGCATAGTTGTTAATCAAAGTGCAACTATTTTTTTCCTTGTTTTAAAAAGATTTGTTTTTATTTGGATTTATATGTATGTGTGTGTCTGTCAGGACCCACCAAGATCCCAGTACTGCAAAAGGAAAAAAGAGAAAAGAAAAGCTATCCATGTAAGCGTCCATATTGTTATATAGAACAGAAAGGTAAGTCCAGGTAGACCAGAAGGAAATGAGAGAAGAGGGAATAGGGAGATAAAAAGAACACAGAATGAAGAGGGGTCCAAAGAGCCCTTAGTGAACAGCCAGGCCCCTGTGGACAGTGGAGTGGCGTTCCTTCTAGCCAATGTGAAAATCTTTGTCTTGTAATTGAAACTTTTTTCTTTTTGAGACAGGGTCTCCCTGTAGCCCCAGCTGGCCTGGAACTTGTTATGTAGACCAGGCTGGCCTCCATCTCACAGAGATCTGCCTGCGTCTGCCTCCCAATTGCTGGGATTAAAGGTGTGGGCCACCAACACCCCCCCCCAACACTGGCTAATTGAGACATTTTATCCATTCATATTTAACAAATTTATCTGAGTTTAAATTTACACTCTTCCACTTTGTCTTCTTTTTCTTATACTTACATACTTATTTTTTTTTTTTTTTTTACTTCTTTGGAGGTTGTATTTTTTGGAAAGTTTTAAATACACAGAAGGCAGCACAGTGTGATGGAGCCGTGTGATCAGCCCTGAACTCAACAGTTATTAACACAACACATGGCTAGCCTTGCCTTTTGTCTCTCCCTGCCACCCTCCTGTGCTGCATTATCTTAAAGCAAATCTGACACAACACATAATTCTGACGATAAATGTTTCAGTATGTTCACCTAGAAGAAAGAACCCAAGCTCAGCCCTAGGACCTCCAAATTAAAACCATGACTTTCTATCTTGTCTGATAAACACCCTTTACAGTCAGCCAGTCTTAATTGGGATTCCAAATGAGGCCACACATTTTGTTTTGTTTTGTTTTGCTTTCTGAGTCTGGGTCTTTCTATGTAATCCAAATTGACCTTGAATTCATAATTCCCTGCCTTCAGTCTTCTGAGTGCTCAGATTGTAGCTGTGTTCCACACACCTGGCTGAGGCCACACATCTTGGTTCCTATGGCTTTTCTAATTTTTTGTCTACACTTTTTTTCTTTCTCCAGTTCCCTTGGAGTTTCCTTGTAGGAAAAGTCGGATCCCTGTGTCCTTGTCTTGCAGTGACATCTTCGTGTTGCTGTCTGACTAGCCCCTCTCTCCCCTGTGTCATTTGCAGATTAGCAGTTGGAATCCTGGAGTTTGGTCAGGTTCAAGTTGGTATACGTCAGTGAAGATTGTTGCCAGGGGTGCAGGGTGCTTCTACTGTACCACAGCTGGTTGTCCATAGTGTCTGCTCTTTCTGCGAAAGTTAAGATTGGCCAGCAGGTGTAGGGTGAGGAGTCCATGTGCCCATCAGCTTGGTAGTTATGTACTCATCCTCTGTCTCCTGGTTACCACCCTAAGACAATAGTGTGCAACCTTACAAACATGTGACAAGCCTGATGGTGGTTTCACCTTTCCCAGGTGGCACTGCAACCTCCAGACATCATATCTCCACCTAGCCCTCGCCACGAGTCCTAATTATATAGTTATATTAAATCTCATAATGCATTTTCAGTATGATAGTTGATCATCAGTTAACATCTGCAGGCAGGCTTGTATTCTAGTCTGTTTTCCTTTATTTATTTATTTATTTATTTATTTATTATTTATTTATTTATTTGAGACAGGGTCTCACTGTGTAGCTCAGGCTGACTTTAAACTTACCATCCTCCTGCCTCAGCCTTAAGTGCTGGGACTACAGGCCTGTGCTGCCACGTCTGGCTCAGGTCCATCTTCTGCTGCTGTAATAGAATATTTATAAACAACAGAAGTGTGTTGTCCTGTGGCCCTTGCTGCCTGCGCTGCTGCCTAGTAGGGGGCTGGGTTCAGGTCTGGGGACCATTCACTGTGCAAGAGCAATGGACTGTATTCTTCCAAGACATGAAGTGTTTCTCCCTCCCTATTGCTGGAAGCCCAGAGGATCTGTGGGTGTGTCCATAAGTCTGTCTGCTTCTTCCCAGCTACACTGCAAGGTCATGTCTGCAATCCAGCCCTATCTGTAGATGATGACATTACAGAACAGGAAAAATGGATGCTTCCTGCATGACAGACTCCTCCGGGGAGGTGGCGGGCCTCTCTGTAGCCTCATTTGGCCCTGGAACTCACTATGTAGACCAGGTTTACCTCAGTCTCACGTAGATTTGCCTGCCTCTGCCTTCTAAGTGCCACCACACCCAACTCCAGCGAGGTTTTGAGAAGAAGAAATTTCTTTTTTCCACCAGAGATTCTCTCCCTTTTCCATTCCCTGCTCTCCTATCAGATTCCCATCCTCTTATCTTCCCTAACCTCAAGTGGAGCTGGAGGAGTCCATTTGGAGGACTTCTTACATTATGTGCACATGCTGTGTGCACACATATACACATTTTCACATACATATGGTATACATGCCTTCAGGGTACACAGTGCATACACCCATATGCACACCTGTATGCATACATGTATCTATATGCATATGTACATACCCTGAAATGATACACACATGCACACACAATATGTGCATATATACAAACATGCAGTACATACATGCAGATAAGCTCACACATACTCATATGCATGCATATAAACATGCGCATACATCCACTTGCAAGTATGCATACACATGCATGGCAGTACAGCAGACTCAACAGCTCTCCTGTCCCCATCCCAGGGGACTCAGAGCAGGAGCTGATGCTGACCACCAAGACCCCCAAAGCCACTGTGGGCGGCCTGAGCCCTTCCAAGGGCTATACCTTGCAGGTCTTCGAGCTCACTGGCTCTGGGCCCATCCTGCTGGCACGGAAAGAGTTTGTGAGTAAGTCTTCTGCACCCAGACAGGGGTGAATGTGGGTGGAAGGCCTCTGGGTTGAGAGCCTGTGGCCGGGGCTTGTAGACTGATTTGGTTTTCCTGTATGGTGCATGCGTGTCTTGTTTCCTGTTCCTCATATTGCTGCTCACCTCCCATGAGGTGGGGAGGTCTGAATTTTCCTTCCAGGAAGAATGTGTGCTCTGCTCCCACCCTAGGCTGGGGTCCTGACAGCCCCTCCTCTCTCTGTAGTTGAGGATCTGAAGAGCCACTCTCTGGTCAGAGGTAGCCGGAGGCTGGTGGGAGCCCCCCTGGAGCCCACACCCATCCCTCTGGGAACCCTAGACCCTGAGCAGACTCCTGAGCCCAGCGTCGCCATCACCCTAAGCCAAGGCCCTCCTGTTCTTGGTGGGTCAAAGTGGAGTAAGAGTGGATCCTAGTGGAGGGGAGATGAAACTTCCTATGTCCCTCATCATATAGCTGGAAGTTCTTGTTTGCGTCTGACCACATGCTCTAGTTTTAACTTAGGCTTACCTGTCATGCTCCTGGACTCAGTAAGCTCAGATATAGGAGACAGATAGTCTCTTCCCTAGAGCCCAGCTTAGGTCTGGAAGATAAGAGGGGACAGCTGTGACTCCTTGCCCCTCCAGGAGTGACCAGTGAGGGTCAGGGGAAGCTTAAACAAGGACTCGGAATACAGGACCATGCTCAGCCAACTGCAGACCTAGAAAGGCAGAGTCACACTGCATCCTCCGTGGGAAAGAGAGGGAAGTTGGGTAAGCTGACTTGCTCTATCCCATGGGGCCATCTCTCTCCCACCACATCAGGGAGGACTCTGCCTCCCCCATCAGACACAGAACTGAAGGAAGGCTTCTGCTCTCAGAGTTGGGCACTACCGTTTCAGGTGGGGTCCTCCTGTCCAGGCTCTATGTCCCCAGTCTTCCAGAATAATATCACCCCACCCAGGACTGGACCTCCCCTTTAGACTGCAGCCTCAAACCCACAGAGGAATCACTTGGTTGTGCTCAGGAGTCTCCTGGGGCCTTCCAGGGGCTGTCTGTGCTAAATTTTCAGGGTCCTAAATGGGGTACTTTGCAAAGAGCTGCAGGGCCTTGAGAACCCTGAGGCCACAGCAGTAGTTGCTGGTCGCTAGCTACTGGCCCAGCCAGTCTTCCAGGAGCTGTTTGTGGTGCTGACCTTCTACTCCACCCCTGGAGGCCACCCACAGGGAGCTGGGCCTGGACATGTGAGTGCTAGGCCCCTCTCAACCCAGAGCTTGCATTGTCAGGTGTACATACAGTGCTTCCAGGGACCTTGGAAGGCAGAGGTAGACCCTAGAGTGGATGTTGTCATCAGCCCTCTTTGAAAGGATTTGAAGGGCTAAGACCCCAGACCAGGATCTATGTGAGATTTTCTAAGTTGGGTGAGACCCTAGGTCCTTGGAAACCTGTCCCCACAAGATCCCAGGAAGACTTCAGCCTGCTCACAACACCACAGGTGTCCCAGGGAAGCCACAGGCCTTGCCTAATACCTCACCCCTCCTTGTCTACCCCAGCTGACCCTGAGTTCCACTGCACCCCCCCCAAACCTACGGATATGGTCTTCCTGGTGGATGGCTCCTGGAGTATTGGCCACAGCCACTTCCAGCAGATCAAAGACTTCCTGGCCAGCGTCATCATGCCCTTTGAAATAGGACCAGATAAAGTCCAAGTAGGTGGGTGTTGCCTCCTTTGCCCAAACCCTGGGGGAGGTTGGAACTCATAAGTCCTTACTAGCAAAGGGGCAGTGGCTCCCCTCAAGAAGGAACCGGGGATGCTGCAGCCTCCCGGGGTCCACTAACTTGCCAGGAAGGATATGAAACCTGGCGGATGGAAGCCCACTCAGTCTGGGTTGGGTCATGTGACTGATTCACTTTCCCTGTGACCCAAAGCTGCTGTCTTGGTCTTCTGGAATGCCTGGCACCTAATCAGCCTCTCCGCCAACACCCCAATGAGAGCCTTGGGCCCTATAAATGCATTTCTCCTTGGGGATGAGACCCAAGCAGGCCATGCACAGCGCTAGCAACTCTGTCGTCTTCATCTTATTTCTTTGCGTTTTCATGAAACAGCCGTCAAAACGGAGCCTTAGTGCTGAGGATTAGCTCAGGGGACTAGCACTTGCCTAGCATGCTTAATCCCTAGTGCTGCAAAAAATGAAAGAAAAAAACCCCAAACAAAACAAAAACCCTCATCCCAGCGGCCTGGGCCCTCCCCCAGGTCTGACTCAGTACAGTGGAGACCCCCAGACCGAGTGGGACCTCAATTCCTTCCACACCAGAGAGCAGGTGCTAGAAGCTGTGCACAACCTCCATTACAAGGGAGGAAACACCTTCACAGGTATGTCCTGGCCTTGTGGTCTGGCTGTTCTGAAGTCTCTGGCTGATCTCTCTTTATGCCCTACCTACCCCTAGACATTTGTGTGATGGATGGTGCTGAGATCACTAACACTTCAGAGGGCACAATCTCCCCCCCTTCACCTTTGGCAACAGTGTGGGCCTGTCAGACGGCTTGCTGAGAACAAGTGTCTGCACCCATCACAGGCAGCTTCTGTCTCAGTCCCACTCAACTGTATTTGCAGGTGGTTTCCTATAGGACAGGGATATGGCCTTGCTGGGTCTCAGGTGCCCTCCAAGAGAGGGATGTCCCTACTTCCAGGTGTCCTCAGTCTAGCAAGGCGGGTGAACAGAGAGCCCTGGGATCAAGTGCTGGGAGAAACTAAGGCTGAGAGGGCACCTGAAGGAGGGGTCCTGGTGGCTGCCTATCACTTTGTCTCAATGCTCCCAAGGCCTCGCCCTGACCCATGTGTTGGGGCAGAACCTGAAGCCAGTGGTGGGTCTTCGTCCAGAGGCAGCCAAGGTGTTGATTCTGGTGACAGATGGCAAATCCCAGGATGATGTACGCACAGCTGCCCACATCCTTAAGGATCTGAACATTGATGTCTTCACTGTGGGTGAGCCCACATGGTCCCTGGGCCCTGGGATAGAATGCTTATGGCCAGGGTAGGCTCTGGGTCACAGAAATGTTTGGACTCCAGCTTCACCATCTTGGTTGGAGAACTGGGTGCATGCTTGACTTCTGGCCCTCAGCTTTTGTGCCTGTGAAGCCCAGGGGGTGAGTTCATGGAGATGTGGGGGGGGTCACATACCTGCCTGGTGCTCACATGGGCACCACCAATGTGGCTGTCCCTTGCAGTAATATTTGCAGACTCTCCCAACCCCCACCTCTGCTCTGACTCCTCACCCTCCAACTCAAATTGCACAGTGCTCACCAAACAGCCTTCAAACTGACTGGTCCCTGCCTGGCTGGTGTCCCTGTGTCTATAATTCTTCTACCTTCTTCTCTCCAAGGAAGGATTGTGCCTGATGCCCTCTGGGGCCTCAGCTGTACTCCCTGTACTCTGTCTGATGGGAAGGAAACTAGGTATAGGGGAGTTGTCCTGGGAGCCCCAGATTCCCCCTTCTCTCATAAGCACTTGCCACCAGCACCCATATGACCTGGCCTGCTGCCCAGAGCTCCCAGGACCATCCTACCTGGGTCCAGAGCATGCCAAGCACACTGGCCTCCCCTGATCCATTCATATGTTTCATTGAAGCCTTATGGGATCTGGGACATGTGGCTTCAGTTTGTGCCCTCCACTGTGGTCTTGTCTGCAAGTAGGACCAAGGTCTCAGAGCAGGTAGCTGGCATACACCCCCCCTGGTCCCTGAGCAGGTGTGAAGAATGCTGATGAAGCAGAACTGAAGCTCCTGGCATCCCAGCCATTGGACATCACTGTCCACAACGTGCTGGACTTCCCACAGCTGGCCACACTAGCTGACCTACTCAGCCGCCTCATCTGCCAGAAAGTCCAGGGCAGGGACCTGAACAGGGACCCAGGTGAGGGTATAACCCCACAGTAACAGAGGGACAGGGAGGCTGAGGCTACACTAGGTCAGTTCTCATGGTCCATGAGGATCCACAGTCCAAACCAGGGAGAGGAACATCTGTTCTTGGGGAGAGGGGGGAGATTTTCATGTCCTCCTGTACATGGCCACCAGGGGGAGCAGGCAGAGGTGCTCACTTGGGTTCTGACCACCTCCATTCCAACAGTCACACCAGCAGCAGCCACTCTGGCCCTGCACCCCCTCCCCACGCCTACCAGCCTGGTCCTGACCCACATCACCTCCTCCAGTGTCCATTTGTCCTGGACTCCAGCCCCACATCTACCTCTCAAGTATCTAGTTGTATGGCAGCCTTCCAAGGGTGGTGCCCCCAGGGAGGTAAGTGGGGCCCTTTGGACAACGTCTGCTAAGGGCCATCCCTGGGAGCTGGGGCAGATGACAGGGACTCCACCAACATGGCTCAGGTGGGTTCTGCTGATCTGTGGCTGAATGCTAGAATTGGGGCCACAGATGATCAAGTCCACATGAGAGAGGAGAGCCATTGTGGGGTAGGGGAAGCAGCTACAAACAGATGCACCCAAGTAGACCAAGTCAGAGGGGAGTGCTGGACAGTGACTGAGGACACCCAGGTGTGGTTTTGATATAATACTGATAGGTGAATATGGATTGGTTGGTGGTCTCCCCTGCTCTCATGGTACCTGGTGTTGCCCTGCTCCATGTGGGGACCCAATCTCTCAGAAGCGTGGCAGCATGTTTCCCCAAGCCCACATCCTGTTGATGGAGTTTTCCTGCCCTGCCTCTGTCAAGGTGGTGGTAGAGGGGCCCGCCTCATTCATGGATCTTCATAACCTGACCTCCAACACAGAATACTTGATCTCCGTGCTCCCTGTCTATGAGAGTGGGGTTGGCGAGGGCCTGCAGGGCCGGGTAAGCACAGGTAAGTGAAGTGATCTTTGTCTGGTCCTGACCCTCAGGCCTGGCTGTAGGCAGCCCTGGGTCTGAGGCACTTCCACAAGTCTCAGTTCCAGGCTTCTGTGACCCTGATGCCCTCTTCTGAACACAGTGGTGTCACACCACAACCCATTACTACTGATGCTCGTGATGGCCTGGGGCTTCCATCCTGCCTGGCCATAGCGCATGACTGAGGCCACTGGCTCTCAGCTACCCTTGGATCTACCATGATCTCTAGCTCCACTGAGACAGACCTCACGTACCTCACACCCACTTACTTACAGGGGCTGTCAGTATGTTTGGAGCTGTGCCGCTGACAGCAACGCCATTGTAAAGAATATTCATTTCCCAAAGGAAACTTGACCCTTCATCAGAACCTTGGGACCCCACTTGGCCCCGATGCCCTCGGCTTTGCTCTTTGCTTCTGATCTGCCTCTTCTGGTCATTCACAGAGACAGTTCCACACACGGTGTGGCTTTTTGTGAGGTTCTTTCAACCTGGAGGCTGCCTCCCTTCCACCTTTGGGGGCAAATGACCTTAGGCCTGCAAGGTGATCTGGCTCCTATAGACTTGTGAGGCAAAAAACGCAGCCCAAGTGAAATATGAGACAAGTCGCTTAGAGTCCTGTGTTCTGACTGGTGGTTGCCCACCTGGCCCAGGCTTCTGTACAACCCTGCCTTCTGAAAGTCTTGTCGTTGAAATGAGCACATCTTTGCTCATGTATATGAGTCCTGTGCATGCCACATTTTCAAAATGTCCCTGATGTCATCTCATCCTCAGCACCCCTGCCTCCACCCCGGGCACTGGCCTTGGCTGCAGTGACACCTAGCACCCTCCACCTTACCTGGCAGCCCTCTGCTGGGGCTACTCAATACTTGGTGCGGTACTTGTTGGCTGCCCCGACTGGGAAGGAGCAGAGGAGAGAGGTGCGAGGCAGGGAAAGGGAGACCATGCTGGGGCAGGTGGGTAGAGCATACTGCAGAGAGTAGACTATGTTGCCATGTCCTCGACAGGTGCAAGTGGGGCAGCCTGAGGTGCTGCTGGATGGCCTGGAGCCAGGCCAGGACTATGAGGTTTCAGTACAGAGCCTCCGGGGACCAGAGGCCAGCGAGGCCCAGGCCATCCACGCTAGGACCTGTGAGTGTCCTGCCTAGGCCACCTGTCTACATAGCAGATGTGATGCTCTGCTCTTTAGCGTGCTCTGGGGTGGGAGACCACAGACAGCTCTGAGGGTCCCATAAGCCCCTCAATCCCAGTGCTGCTTACCCTTCCCCCAGTCCTGAGGGTAAGCATGGAAGCTCCTGAAGCCTCTCTGTGCTCTGCAGCCACCCTAGGACCCCCAAGACACCTGAGTTTCTCTGATGTGAGCTACAACTCAGTCTATGTGTCCTGGGAAGCCCAGAGGCCTGTGCGCTCGGTCAAGGTCAGCTATGTCTCCAGTGACGGCAGCCACTCTGGGCAGGTAAAAGCAGGCTTGCCTGGGGCCCAAAAGTCTCAAGGGACTCCTGGGGGACCCAGAATCCTAGGTAGGCCCAGCATTCAAACAGACCTGGGGGGCTCCTGATATATTCCTATTTCCGATGACACACACATTCAGTCAACATCTGTTCAGCTTCCTTATACCCAGGCTTTGGGATGGCATATGGGACACTGTGTCAACAATATTTCAGCCCTTGGGGTCTGGGTCTGGTGGGAATTGGAGGAAGATCTGAATCAAAGACTCACACACAGAGTGATGGCATGGTGAGGCTGTGGTCACACCTGGTATGGCGGTAGAATGACTTGTAGGGTTGCAGGATAAGACAGAGAAGGGCATCTCCACCCATGTCCTCCTATAGTTCCATGACTGATCCCATTTTTCCCATTCTGAGAGTCACAGAGTAGTCCTGGCTGCATGTCCTGAGCCTAGTTGGGTCTCCATCCTGGAAGGGGCTCCAAGTGCCCCATGAGTCTCTGTATGCCTCCTACAGGTGCGGATTCCTGGAAATGCTACCTCAGCCACTCTGGGCCCCCTTTCCTCCTCCACCATGTACACCGTCCATGTCACCTGCTTTTACTTTGGGGGTAGTTCCTCCATTCTGACTGGCCATATTACCACAAGTGAGTTGGTAAACTTGAGGCTGGGGTGGAGCTGGGATATATCCTTCTGTCCTACTGAAGAGTTCGAGTCCACAAGCCTGTGTTGTGTGTCTGCTCTGGCTGTGCTGAGCCAGGTGGGGACAAATGTCTGGACAAGTGTGACAGGAGGGATGCATAGTGACAAGGGTCCACATGACTGACCTTTATCTGTTAGAAACAGATTAGGCTAGCACTGTGCACTCATATCTCTACACCTCATCTTCCAGAGAAAGCCCCCAGCCCAAGCCAGCTGTCTGTGATGGAGCTGCCAGGTGATACAGTCAGGCTGTCATGGGTGGCTGCTGCCTCATCTGGTGTACTTGTCTATCAGATCAAGTGGACGCCCTTGGGAGAAGGGAAGGCCCATGAGGTAAGGGATTAGCTGAACCTTCAGAGGAATTCCTATGACCCCAGATTCCAAGACCAACTGGGACTTAGGCTCTGTGTGCCCACCCCAGTCTTGCATCTTGGGGACACCTGTCTGTTCACACCCTATGAACCTGTCTCCTGAGGCGAGGTCCCCTATGAGCCAGGTGGACCCCTGGACTTTCCTTTCTCCAGATCTCTGTCCCAGGGACACTTGGCACAGCCATCTTGCCTGGTCTGGTGAGGCATGTGGAATATGAGATCACCATCCTGGCTTACTACAGGGACGGCGCCCGCAGTGACCCTGTATCCCTCCACTACACCCCCTGTAGGTGGCCTGTCCTCCACTCAACTGGGATTGGTACAGGAGCAGCACAGAAGGGACAGAGACTTTCCTGGATCCACATGCCCAGGACCTTGTACTCCTAGAACCACTAATAGGCAGACTTCCCAAACTCCTGACCCTGGGCCTGACCACTGGGTCTGAGCCCCAGGGACAAAGGTGTTCTTGGAGTGACCAAAGGTCCAAATTATCCAGCATGGGTGATCCAGCCTTTGTGAAAGGTCTGCTAGTGGGGGGCTCAGCAGGGACACAGTGTAGAGTTGGGTAGGGCAGGGCATGGTTTAGGAATGGTTGGTTGGCTAGCCTTCTGGCTGTAGGCACCCCCATTCTGGAGATCCCTGAGCCCCACATTGTCTGTGCTACTGGCTAGCTGCAGCAAGCAGGAGCCCACCATCCAGCCTGTCACTATCCTCGGAGACCCCGAACAGCCTGCAGGTGAACTGGATACCACCAAGTGGCCATGTCCTCCATTACCGGCTTAATTATGCACTGGCTTCAGGCTCTGGACCAGAGAAATCGGTGAGTCTGTAAAGAGCTAGGAACCACCCCAGGGTCTGGGGTGCCGATGATATCTGTCTGCTGAGGGTGGCAGCTTCTCTAGGATGGGAAAAATAGACAAAGGAGTGCAGCCTTCAAAGGAGCAGACATTCCAAGAGGGGAGGCTCACAGACCTCCTGCCCCATAGATCTCTGTGCCAGCCACCAGGAGCCACGTCACCCTTCCTGACCTGCTGTCTGCCACCAAGTACAGGGTCCTGGTCTCAGCTGTCTATGGAGCAGGGGAGAGCGTGGCAGTGTCTGCCACAGGCCGCACAGGTATGTGGGCACCGAGGGTACTAGATTCCAGGCCCAGTCAGACTCAAGGACCAGCTAGAGCCAGTCAGATGTCAAACCTGGTTAGACCCCAGACAAGGTGGGACACCAAGCCTAGTGAGACTCCAGACCCAGAACAGACCTGTGGAGAGACCATGGAAAGTAGGGAGCTTGGGGCCTAAACATTTTGGAGTGGTCAGTGCTTACCCTTTCACACACTATGATGGTGACAGAGGAAGGTGGGGTTTCCATAGGCCCTCCTCCTCTACTAGGCAGCCCTCACCCAGCCTGAGGCTATAGCAGTCTGCAGAAAACATCACTCTAGTCTGGTAGCCAGGTCTCCCACTCATGCCTGCTTGTAGGGACCAGCTGGTACTTCTATGACTGCTGGAAGTCTGCAGAGTGCAGCAGTCTGAGGACAGAAAGCAAATTAGGGCATCCTGAGTCAGAGTGACTGGAAAATGGCTGGGGAGAGTGGAGAGGTCTTTGCCCAAGAGAGCCCTAGCCTTGATGTTACAGGACATGGACAAGTCTCTGATGGCCTGTTATCCTACAACCCACAAGACCAGGCCCAGCTGTGAGGAACCATCTTTTGCTGTTGTTTTGTTCTGACTTTCTGGATACCACAGTTGTTCAGGGCACATGGCCTTCAGAGACTGTGCAGTCCACACCCTCAGCTGTGGTGTCCCATCTGGGGTCATACAATTGTATCTCAAATGCTTGTGGGAGTGGATAGCTACTATGGCTGGTGCCCTAACTATGCCTCCATTTGTATCTGCCTTGAACCTGGCCACAAGGTCAGCCTGTATCCCTTGTTCCCAGACCTGTGCCTGTCCCTAAGCAGCCTCTAAGGCTGCTTGCTGCACTCAGGCATCTTCCTGGCCCTGCCAGTCTGGTGTCTGGAGTGCACTTGGTGCTCATAACTTCTTGAGGCACAGGCCCCAGTGGAATCTTGGCTTTGTAGGGGTGGATGTAGTGAGAGGGAGGTGTGTGTTTCGGGTGCAAGTCTACCTGTGCCCACTAGAGGCATGGCATTGTTCCTGAAGTGGTCCTTCTGGTGGTTGGGCCGACCTTGAAGTAACTGACCAGATCTTCCATGTCCTTTTAGCAGCCTGCCCAGCCCTGCATCCTAACAGCTCCCTCCCAGGTAAGTCCTGAACACCTCCAAGGTGAGGGTGAGCAGTCATAGGATGCTGGTGGATTTGGAGCAGGGTCTGTACCCTCACAGGTCACCCACAAAGCTGGCAGTGTGGTTTTATTCCTGCTTCATAGTGGGAACACTGACGTGGTCCAAAGTCAGCATCAGCCTGTTCAGGGCAGAGGCAGAACTGGTTGGACCCCCTCTGGTCCTGGGAGGCTCCCTGCTACCAGGCATCTGGAGCGTGTGGTGCCAAGCCTGGGATCATTTAGTGCTATGCAAGAGGATTGAGAGTGGATACCTGGCATGAGGTATATTGTCAGGAAACCCTGTCCAGCAACGGAGGGTTGTGAAGGTGGGGACAGGAGGAGAGGTTCGGTTGTATGAAGGCTGTAGCTCACTTGTATCCCAGAAAGGCAGCCTGTGTGGGGCTGCTACTGCCCTGAAACTGATGTGGCTGGTGGGTGGTAAGACCACTGAACTATAGGGCCCATAGAAAGCAGGGTCAGTGGACAGAGGGGCAGGCATAGCTCCTTCCTTGAATAGACCTTGGAAAGGCTGAGCTTCTGTGGCCCTGCCATCTCTGGGCCTTCTGGTGTGCCATTAAGCACTAGATATAAGTATTGTTTCATCTCTTTCCTTGTGACAGTGCTGGAGAAGAGGCTGGAGCTTGAATAACCCATCATGGTAGTGGTGGCTCTGATGGCTCCTATACCAGCTCAGGTTGGGGTCAGGACCATGGAGAGTGCTCAGGCTGCCTCAAGCACGAGGTTGTGCGGGCCAAAGAGCAACTCAGCAATGTCTTCCTTAAAGAGAAAAAACTTGAAGGCTGGGTGAAGGCAGGGCATGGGTGCTGGGGATGCTTCTTGCTGGGTATGTGAAGCAGGTCACTGGTGGCTAAGTGCCAGGGTGTATCCTGTGTCCAGTCTCTGGTCTTTCTAAGCTGGGACATCTGGATAAGAATTTCCCCAGCATAGAACTGGGGTTGAGGGAAGAGGGACAATGTGGCCTAGGATAGGTATTGACCTGGTCATCAAGGAGCTGGAGTCTCCTCTGGAGGGCAAGGCAGTGCTGGGCCCATGCTCACCCCTAAGACTTTGGCTCCAGCCTTCCACTGCTCTGATGGTCCCAACCTAGGCCACCTTTTCAGACCCTCCCTCCTGCCCTCTGCCACTCCCGCCCCCAAGCAGAATCTCTGCCCCGTCCCTCCTTCTCCCCTGATTGTCCCTGGTCATTATTTCCTGTTCCACCAGGGTTTGACCTGATGGTGGCCTTTGGCCTTGTGGCAAAAGAGTATGCCTCTATTAGAGGTGTGGCCATGGAGCCTTCAGCCTTGGGTGTGGCACCGACCTTCACACTCTTCAAGGATGCTCAGCTGATGCGGAGGGCCAGGTGCGTGGCGCTAAGGGAGCTGGGAGTGCAAGTAAGGGCTATGCAAATCAGGTTCACAGAGTTAACATGGGACGGGGCCGGCTACATTCTCTGTGTCCCTGACACGACCCTGGCCTAGAGTTGACTAGCCTCTGACACCATGTCAGCAGACCATAGACTGGCCTCAGTCCATCCATTCCAGAAAGTGTCATTTGACAAATTAATGAGTATAGAATGAGACCCCACCCCCATTATGACTTGAGATCATGCATGGGTCTTTTCCCCATATGGCTCAGGAATTGTTCACACTTCACATCATTACATATATAAGTCAGACGCTGTCCCCTCTAACTGGTGGTGTGTCTGCTCCATAGCCTGACAGGTAAGTCTACCACCACACTAAGTTTTTGAGAAGTGGCTGCTTCCTAAGTAGAAATGAGAAGGCTTGAGAAGCCTCTGGTATCTGGTGATCACCAATCCCTGCTTACCCCACACTTGAATTATAAACCCGAACTGTGATGCACACAGTATGACTAAGTGGCAAGAACAGGGGCTTTACTTCCCACACCTTGGAAGAACCAAGGCCTGAGCATGTAACAAAAGTAAAGAACAAGGATATCACAAGTGGAGAGAGCATGGCCACTCGGGCTCCCATGGAAGTTAGGTGCAGGCAGCAAGCCAGGGATTGTGCCCCCTGTTCATGCCACTTCCTGGGAGCAGCTGGAAACCTTGGGCAGGAGCATGCAGAAGCCTCCTGGGAAGGGAGAAGGGAAGCTTGAGGGCATTCTGTCCATTCAGCTAAGGCCTGCTCAGTAGCACTGGTCTATTTCTATAGACACATGTCCTCTGCAAGAGCACTCCATACTCTTAACTGCTGAGCTATCTCTCCAGGCCCCCAAATCCTTTCTTCCCACTTTATGAACTGCATAGCTGGTTACTGTCTGAAGCTGTCCTCTGTGCACCCACATGCTGGTTCTTTCTGCCCTTGCCTTCCTGGACTGTACTACCTCTCAACAGCTTTACCCATCCCTTGTCTCCCACTCTCCCTTCCCTGAAGTACATACATACCACTGTGTCCCTGGAGTCTGGCTCCATCTCTCACTCATCATTTGGTGGGCATATTGATTGACTCCATTTCTTGGCTCTGGTGAGAACTTTATACCCAGGAGGGGGCTTGGCAGATCGTATGATAGATCTGTTTTTATTTTTCTGTTTTGTGAATTAGTTATGCAGTTTACAAAACAGACACTGTGCAAGGCTCCCCTGTTTCCACCAACACTTGATAGGTTTTGTCTTCCTGACTGAGTGGTATCTCATTGTGATTTTACATTTCCCTGATGATGATGATGAGGAGGAGGAGGAGGAGGAAGAGGAGGAAGAGGGGGAGGAAGAGGAGGAGCACCTTTCCATCTGCCTGGCCTGCTTATATATGTTCATGTGAGAACTGTCTGTTGAGTCGGACATGGCCACTGCCACCTGCACTTCATGCTTGACCCTGTCATTGAGTGCCACTGGTTCCCATGTCAGACTTGGCATGTCCCACTGTCCCTCATCTTAATGACTGACTGTCTCTTGGTTTCCTTCACCAGACCCTTCCTTCCTCCTTTGTCTTCTCAAATGCCCCTCCCTCACATTCTGTCGCATTTTCACGCTGTGATAATTCTTACCCCGGGAGACTTAAATGACTTCTACCCCCTCCTTATAATCTGACTTCTAGGGAATCAATGACTTCAGTTATGGAACATAAGTGAGGGGCTACTTACAGGAGCCCAAAGTAACCCCACTGACCAGTCTTCACCCACTGTGGATGATGGCTTCTCCGTAGCTGTATAGATGGAGTTCCCCTCAGCTAACTTTTCTCAGCCTGTATACGATAGAGACCTGAGACCACATGCATTTAGGGCAGAACGGTATACAAATGACTGGGAGGTATAGGAGAGAGCAGTCTGACTCTCAGGTGAGCATACAGTGACCCTCCCACACACACCTTCTCTGATGGAACATAAACAGTCAACAGGCATGGGTTGGTCTCTCGTAAGCAGGGACAGCTGATCTGATGAAGATGATGGCTTTTTTGCTCAGAGGACCATGTTTTATTACATACCTTTTCATAGCTGGTGGGGAAGTTGTATTGCAGAGCAGATGACTCTGTCCTTCATGTCCAAGATCTAATCTGGTTGTTTAGCCAGGCAGGCAGGTGAGACACTCTACCCACCTGGAGCCTGAGCAGCTCAAGGGTCTTGCTTCTGCCTCCCTAGATTCCCCTGCTATCCCTATCTCCACCATTACCACAAAGCCTGTGCCAAATCTGTCCACTTCCCTAGCAGTGGTTTCCCTTCATTGTCCCTCTCCTCAAATGGGTGACTTCTCCTGGAGCCCTTGGTGTATCTGTCTGCCTTTCTGGAGCTCCCAAAGGACAGATGCTTCCTAGGAGTGCTGACCCAGCCCAAGCGTGGTCCCCACCATGATAGCTGTTGAAGGGGACTCTGGCTACTGAAAGTGGAAGAAAGCATCCTTCCTTGTGGTGGGGTCAAGAGGCTCTATGAGGAGGCAGCAGATACATAAGAGGTACTAGAGAGAGGGGTAACTGAAGAGGAAGGAGCAGCAGTCAAGTCTCCGTGGTCCATGGTCCGTGTACTTAGAGAATTATACGACTGTTCTCAATCTATAATCTCAGCACTGAGGTGACTGAGGAGGGATCACTGTGAGTCTGATGCTGGTCTGTGTTATGTAGAGAGACCCTGTCTCTAGAAAGAGAACTATAGGATCATGACTGGGCTGTATTTTTTTTTCTTTCTGGTTCTTTGTTTTTATACTAAGAGCAGTCAAAAGTCAAATAAGTAGGCTGATAGGAACATTTTCTTGGGTGACTGACTCAAGACTCATTCCTTGCCCCTACTTTGTCCCTATGAGCCTGGATCAGCATAGGCATGGACTTTCCTGTTGCCTAGTTTGAGCCCTCAGCAGATGTAGTCAGTGGGAGTTGTTGCAGGCACCCTCCTTCTGGGGTCTGCCTGCCTACACCCCTTTTCGCCCAAGAGCCCTTGAGCATAAGGGTCTCAGCAGTACTTGCATGGTGACCTTGGCCAGGCTTCAGTGTAGCAGAGGGCCTGTCGGGTTAGGGGCCTCAGTACTTGTTGAATCCTAAAGCCCTGGGTAGGAGAGGGTACTCTGTTATTCCCATGTTTCTTATAGGGACATAAGGCAGGAAGACCTCAGCTCAGCTTTGTAGACACTGGTGTCCGTGGCTCTGTCAGTCTGGGCTCTAGGGTGCAGCCTCTATATGCTGTCCCTAGCTGGGGAGGCTGTGCAGGGCAGCAGTCCACAGTGGCCAACAGAGCAGGCCTGGAGGTGAGGCTATGTCCTGGGGAAGGACTTCCCTCATTGACAGTCTAGTCCCTTGAAGTCTGTTCTGACTCCTTGTCCTTCCAGTGACATCCACCCAGTGACCCTTCCGCCAGAACACACCATTGTCTTCCTTGTGCGCCTGCTTCCCGAGACACCCCGTGAAGCCTTCGCGCTGTGGCAGATGATAACTGAGGACTTCCAGCCCATGCTTGGGGTTCTGCTGGATGGTGACTGTAGACCCCATGTCACCCTTGGTTGTCAGGAGGGATGGGGCCCATGATTACCCTCTTAACCTCATGGTACATGGGTCTGAGGATGCCAATCTTCAGGCTGTGCCTTGGGTCTCTCCAGGCAATCAGGCATGACAGCCCATTATCAGCAAATGACAAATGCTGAGGGTAACCATAGTTTTGTATCATGGGGGCCCTGCCTGGGTTCTAGGTGTGACCTTTGGTCTGTTACTCCTGCCCTCCTTCAACTTCTCATTCTCATATGCCCCCCCACCCCCACCGGCAGCTGGCAGAAAGTCTCTGACTTACTTCAACCATGACCCCAGGGCAGTCTTGCAGGAAGTCACCTTCGACCTGCAGGAGGCAAAGAAGATTTTCTTTGGGAGCTTCCACAAGGTCTGGGAACTGTCTGAGTCCTGCAGGCCCTTGTCCCCCTGGCGTGGTCTTCCATTCCTGTGCTTGCCTCCCCTGGAGAACTAGAATGGTCTCTGAGAGTCAAGCATTGATCAGTCCAAGGCCTCTGACCCTGGTGCCTCTCTGTCCTGGTTGTCTCCTTTTAATTTGGGTCAGAGAGCATGGGACATGTGTGGAGTCAGGATTGGGACCCAAGGTTCTTGGTGGTGGACTCCTACACATATTTGGGCCCTGGCCATACAACTGGGGCAGACACAGACCTGGCTTGGTGTGGGACACTCCCTGTGGCATCTCTGCAGGTGCATGTGGCTGTGGGGCACTCCAAGGTTAGACTTTACGTGGACTGTCGGAAGGTGGCTGAGCGGCCCATTGGAGAGGCTAGCAGCCCACCCTCTGCTGGCTTTATCACACTGGGGAGGCTGGCCAAGGCCAGGGGGCCACGAAGTAGCTCAGCCAGGGTGAGTGAGCTGGACCTCAACCTACCAGCTGGTTGGGCTCTGCTTGTGGGGCCTGCATCTAATTGTCTCTTCCTTGATTTGTAGTTTCAGATCCAGATGCTAAGGATCATGTGCAGTGACACCTGGGCAGACCAGGACAGATGCTGCGAGATTCCTGCCCTGGTAGGTGGCAGTAAGGTCCTGGTCACTGTCCCTCTTCCCTGTGGGAGTACCTACTAAGGATCACAGAGTCTGGGGTAGATGGACCTGCCTAGACCTATTGTACTGAGAGATGTTAACAGGATTCCTTTTTTTTTTCTTTTGGTCTTTTTGGGACAGGGTCTCCTTGTAGCCCCAGCTGTCCTGGAACTCACTATGTAGACCAGGCTGGCCTTGAACTCACAAAGATCCGCCTGCCTCTGCCTCCCAAGTGCTGGGATTAAAGGTGTGCGCCACCATGCCCGGCAGGATTCCTTTTTTAAATTATTTATGTGTATGAATGTTTTACCTGCATGTATGTAGGCATACCACATACATGCAATGCCTGCAGAGGACAGAAGCAGGCATCAGAGCCCCTGGAATTGGAGTTACAGGTGGTTGTTACTTGCTGTGTGTATGCTGGGAACCAAACCCTGGTCCTCTGGAAGAAGAGTCAGTGCTCTTAACTACTAGACATCTCAGAAAGCAGGCTTTCTGAAGGAGGTGGCCAGAGAGGCTGGATGGGGGAGTCCCAGAGGTGGTGGAGACTGGCCATGAAGCCCTGTGTGCAGCGGTGGCAGTTTCCCTGTAGTAGGACATGTGTAGGCCACCCCACCTTCACCAATGACAGTTATGTGTCAGACAGAAGTCCCTGGTCAGCCCCAGGGAAAGACTGCTCCCCTTCTCTGTGGGCCCAGGTAGAAGTTCATTCAGGGAGGCCATGAGGCCATCCTTGGACTGCTGGGAACTTAGTGGCTCTCCTCACTAGTCCCCTGAAAATCCATGCTGGACTTAGCCATGCTGGGGGCCTGGGAGGAGAGCAAGGAGAAAGAGGTACCGTCATGTCCTAAGGCTTCTGTGACTAGCCAGGACACAGTACCCAGAACCTGCTGCGCACACAGGGCTTAGCAGTCTTCATGCTGACCTGACCTACCCCGAGGTGGTTCTGGAGGTTTCTTGAAGTCAGGTATACTTGGCCATGCTGAGCCTTAAGATCAGATGAGAATCAGAGAGAGGGTCCACTGAGCAAGTGATCTCTTTTCTTCCAGAGGGATGGAGAGACATGCCCAAACTTCCCTTCTACACGCACCTGCTCGTCCCAGACTCCTGGGCCCCCAGGACCCCAGGGGCCCCCGGTGAGTCCAGTGACATCTTTCCTAGAGCTGGCTCTTGATCTTGAAAGCCCCTTCTTCTCCCAGCAACATAGATAGGAGTCTAGGGCTGGAGGAATCTGAGGAGTCTGGAGGAGCCAGAGTGGGGATGAGGGTTAGGGTGAGTTTGGTACTCAGACCTGTCTGTGTTTTCACAGGGCCTCCCAGGGAGAAATGGCACTCCAGGAAAACAGGGCCACCCAGGGCCCAAGGTAGGTTTTGTGGGGTTAGGGACAGTATGCCTCACCTCACCTGCAGGGGAAGGACTCTCAACACATTAAGAGCATGGGGAACAGGCTGCATGTCACCCCCACATCAGGTGGAAAGCTCCTATTGAAGATAGGCAGTGATACCCCAAGGAAACTAAGAATTGCTCTGGGTCCCCATCACCTGCTGGACAACTGGCTCTGAGCCTGGTGTTCAAAGTATGTTTATGTCTCACCCACCGTCATAGGCAGGATCATCTGCATGGCATAAATGGGGAAACCTGAGGCTTGGGGCCCAATGAGTGGGCCCAGGCTTGTCTGGCTTCTCAGTTCATCCTTTATTCTCCTGCATAGACACTTGCCAACACCTCTGTCTACAGCACACAGGAGATTGAGATCCAAAGTGGTTTGAAACATATTTAGCATCTATGAACTGGTGTCATCTGCAGGGTCTATGGATGTGTTGGAGAGAGGGTCTGGCACTGTGAGGCTTATGGGTGTGTTGGGGTGAAGGCCTTTTCTCGGGAGAAGGAAACTGAAGGCAGTATGCTTTGATAGCAGCACAGTCCCACAACAGCCTGGAGGGTGATCTTCTTTGATTCAAGATTGGTAGGCCTCAGTGTAACATGCACAGGGCACAAGATGTACACAGAGTAGCAGCTGCTGGGACATGCTCCTCCCATGCTTGATGCCCTCTCCTTCCCTGAAGCCCCCTAGAGGGTTCTACAAACCTGCACCCCACACCCTGCCCTGCACTGGTCTGGCACAGTGCCTCTTGAAAAGTGTGTCCTTGGGCAGAGCTGACTGAGGTCTTTGGACTGTGGACACGTGTAGACAACAGCCAGTCTTCCATCTGTGAAATGAGGTGTTCAGCCTCCTTTATTTGTGAGGATGCTATGATGCTCTGTCTATGAAGGACTGATGTTATACCTGAGGGCTGAATTCCCATGTACTTGTATGCACAGTGTCAATTGTCCTCATAAGATGAGCAATGTGCGCCTGGCCCCTGTGGTGAGCCACCAGCTCCCCAGCCTACTCCTGGCTAACTAGCTGATGTCAAGCAGCCTGGTGGGTGAAAATGAACATTCTCGCTTATTCGTTTGTTTTGTTTTGTTTTGGTCTTCTTGAGGCATAGTCTCCCTGTAGCCCCAGCTGGCCTGGAACTTACTATGTAGACCAGGCTGGCCTCACACTCAGAGATCCGCCTGCCTCTGGCCCCTGAATGCTGAGATTAAAGGTATACCCCAAAACTCCTGGCCAATCAATGTGGCCTTTATTTGTCTTCCTTTTAAAGCTTGGGTACCCTTTGGAAGCTGCCAGAATTTCCTTGTTGGAAACATCCCCTCACTGTGCTGTCTGCTCCTTGCTCCTCTGTGGGTCATGGTACACTGTTCGGAGTCAGCTTTGCTGCTGAGGTGACTTCTGACTTCTTTGCCATTTTAGTGTGTCTCCTTTGACTTGTTTCTGACTGGTTTCTGTGCATATTTTTTTTTACTATTTTATTATTTTTATTTTATGTGTGTGAGTGTATTGCCTGCATGTATGTGAGTGCACCCGTGTCATGCAGTGCCGTGGAGGTCAGAAGAGGGCTTTGGATTCCCCTGGAACTGGAGTTAAGGACGGTTTGTAGCCACCATGTGGGTACTGGGAATCGAACCCAGGTCCTCTGCAAGAGCAGTCAGTGCTCTTAACCACTGAGCCATCTCTCCAGCCCCCTTCTGTACATGTTTTTAAGGTAACTTTTGCTCAGTCAACATCATTGGTCTATCTCTTCTGGCCTTTGAATTTTGTAACCTATTTAAAAAGGTCTCCACAGCACTAGAGAGATAGCTCAGCAGTTAACAGCACTGGCTGCTCTTGCAGAGGACCCAGATTCAGTTCCCAGCACCCACATGGCAGCTAACAGCTGCCAATAACTTCAACATCCTCTTCTGGCCTCCGTGGGCATTGCACACACCTGATATATATTAATACATATAAAATACAAGTAAATAAATAAAAAAATAAAAAAGGCCTCCTAGGGTGGGTAAGATGGCCCAGGGTGTAAAGGTTCTTGCCACCCAGCCTGATGATCTGAATTTAATCCTCCAGACCCACATGGTAGAAGGACAGAATTGACCCCTGCAAGTTGTTCTCTGACCTCCACACATTTGTTCACAAACACTAAATAAATAAATGCAATAAAATAAAACAAAGGCCTCCCCCAATCTGAGAGTATAAAGTGTGAATCCTTGAGTTTCTCTGGAACCTCCTGGGCCTTTCAGAACTGAGCGTATTTGTTCATCCCTGGCTTGCTTGGTTTGCAACCCTTGAAGACCTTGCCTCCAACCTCTACCCCCAAGCAGCCATCCCTGTGGACATGTGGACACCATCTTCATCAGTCTCAGCTCCTACTGCACACATTGTCTTCCCCACCAGTTTGTCCACAGAGCCATGAGCCTAGCCTGGCCTGACCATTGACTTGGTCCATGCATCACAAATGACAGTGGGCCTCCATATCTCCAGCTTCAGCAATGGGAAGATTCAACCACGGCAGGCTGAAAATATTTGGGGAAAATGCATTGTCCTGGGCACGTTCAGACCCTTTTGTTGTCATCCTTTCCTAAGCAACACAGTTGCTTTTACGTGGTGTTTGGTGTCAGTCACCTCTAAATGACTTAAAGTTCATGGGGGAATGTATAGGTTACATGTAAATACTGCCCCATTTTCTAGAGGGGACTTAGGTATCTGTAAGCATCTGTGGATCTGGGCATTATGGGAGTCCTGGAACCAGTCCCCAAGAATACTGAGAGACAACTGAACTCCAAATTTGTGTAGCATTTTAAGGAGGGCTATCCTCCTTTTATTATTATTATTATTATTATTATTATTATTATTAATTATTATTATTTGGTGGTGGTGGTGGTGGTGGTGGTGGTGGTGGTTTTGTTTGTTTGTTTGTTTTGACAGGATCTCCCTAGTTCCAGCCTGCCTGGAAGTCACCATGTGGAGCAGGTTGGCCTCCATCTCACAGAGATCCACCTGTCTCTACTTCCCAAGGGCTGGGATTAAAGGTGTGCACAACCACGCCTGGCAAGATTGGTGGCGGTGGTGGTGTGTGTGTGCCACAGCATGTGGAGGTCAGAGGACACCTTTATGGAGCTGGTTCTCTCCATCCACCTTTATGTGGGTTCTGAGGATTGAACTCAGGTCACCAGGTTTGGTGACAAGTGCCTTTAATACTTACTGGCCCAAGGCTGGTCTGCTTCTCTGTCTCTCCAAAATGTTCCTGGCTCCTCTTGTTTATTTTTCTGTAGACTATATAATTCACTTTTCTATTTAGACTAAGAAATCTAGATGATGTTTTTTACAGGAACCACATTTAATTCATAGTTATGCTTAGAAAGAGGCAACACTTCTAGAATTTTCATCCTCTCACTAGGAATGTGGCCATCCTGTTTGTTGGTATCTGTTGTGATCTTTAGTAAAACTTTTGGAAAGTCATTTCTTGGGCTTGCTGGGCTCTGATTCATGCCCAAATATCGCCTCTTTTTGCTGCTGCTGAAAGTAGGGTCTTTGCAGTCCTTGACGCTACTGTCTGGTGATTTATATGTTGGCTCTTTCCCTCAGAGTTCTTTTTGTATCTGGCTTTCTTATTTCTGATGGTTTTTATTTTCATATAGTCTTTCTTGGGGTTTTTCAGATTCTCTTGAGGTCACCTGCCAAGTTTCTTCTCTCCAATGTTTATAACTCTGATTTAATTCTATTCTTTAAAGGTTATTTATTTACATTTTTATGTATGACTGTTTTGCCTGCATGTATGAATATGTACCACATGCATACAATGCCCGTGGAGGCCAGAAGAGGGTGTCAGATCCCCTGGAACCAGAGTTAGGGATGGTTGTTAGCCACCATGTGGATGCTGAAAACTGAACCCAGGTCTTCCTCAAGAGCAGCCAATGATCTTAATCACAGCCATCCCTCCAGCACCTTTTTTTCTTGCCTGGTGATGTTGGTGACTATGGCAAGTTCTGTCAAATGGTGTCAGGTGGTGCAGATGCCCTTATCTTCTCCTTGGTTTAACAGAAATGCCTTAATGTCTTTCATGAAATGCAGAGCTGACTCAGACACCAAGGCAGATATTATCATGTGGCAATAAAATCCCGTTTTATCTTATTTGAGACTTGGAAAAAAATCAAGAACAGGCGTTAAGTAGGATCTAGCGTCTGTTCAGTCGTTGTGGGTTTGATTGAACAATTTTCTTTGTGAAGCTCTTCACTATTAATTTTGGTGTTTCCTTACATGCTAGCTATTCTTACATCATTAAGAAGCCAGTGTGGTGACGGTCCTTGTCACCATTTGGCATGTGGCAGTGCTCTACGTACTGGCATTTATTTATAGTTGCACATTAATAAGATTGAGCAGTATCGTGTTTAGAGTACTGATTTCTTCATTCAAAAAATAACTTGGAAATGTCTTTCCCCAATCTCAGTTGAAACTGCACTGTGTCACCTGTCCCTTAGAGCTTCGACGTCCAGTGAAAATCGAGCTCAAGGAGATGCCTCCTTCTCCCCCACCCCATATATCAGTCCACTAAGCTCCACCTCTCCTGCTGGTGATTTCTGCACACATTTCCTCTCCAAGCCCCTTTGGAGCCAGTGTAGAGTAGGAAGTCTGGAGTCAGGTGAGAGGCCTGGCTTTGAGTCCCAACTCCATTCTGGCTTGCCTTTAGGGCCCAGAGAAGAAGCCATCAGGAGTTGTTGAGCCCTGTAGATGGGTCAAACCAGGACCCACCCATGGAGGGCATGAGGGAACATGAGCCTCCTTTATCATCTGGTGAAGGTGCCTGTGGCTTTGAGAACCACAAGGTGGGGGCTAGAGGGCTGAGGGCACGTAGTAAACAAGGGAGGGACAGATGACATGCTCTCTTAGTTCCCTCAATGCCCCCTGTATCTCTAGGGAGAGCCGGGGCCACCTGGACAGACAGGACCCAAAGGCCCTGGAGGTCAGCAGGGGTCACCAGGGACCCAGGGCCGCACAGTCCAGGGACCCATGGTAGGTGCTACCCCCACTCTTCCTCCTCCCCTTTGTCTCTCCTGTCTGCTGCTCAATCAATCTTCTCCTCCAGGGTCCACCAGGGGTCAAAGGAGAGAAGGGGGACCATGGACTTCCAGGCTTGCAGGTAGTGGGTCAGAGCCATAGCAGGGCAAGGCTGTGGGAAGGACCCTCCTCTGTATGTGACCTTGGCTCCTGCCTGGCTGGCTATCTCTGTTCCCTTCCAGGGCCTCCCTGGCCAACAAGGCATCCCTGGGAGAGCTGGCCTTCAAGGACCAAAGGTACTGGCTCTGGATCTGTAGGCACTGAATAGGAGAGCCTGGGGAGCGTCCTGGGGATAGAAGCCATGGGGGGTGAGGAGGTAGAGGGACTTCTTCACCTGAGACTGCGCCTGTCCCATTCCCTGAGGCCTGGCCAGAAGGAAGGGTATTCCAGCACACACCAGGGACATGTGCTGCTACCCTGGGATGGGTCAAGGGCGAAATCTTCTCTGCTCAGAGCTGGGGCAGGTTGTACAGCCCAATTCCTCAGGGTGGGCTACCTTCTTGGAGTGCTACTGACTCTGGATCCCAAGGGCACCAAGTTGATAGAAATGCCAATGGGAAGAGCATGCCAGGGGCTTCTGGGGGTGGGTTACCATGGAGTGCATGGGCTGATATGCATCTCTACTCCAACCTGTTCCTTTTCTGTCCATCAGGGAATGAGAGGATTGGAGGGACCTGCCGGCCTGCCTGGACCACCTGGCCCCAGGGTAGGCTCTGTCCAGAATCCCCAAGGCTCCCTGGAGCTGGGCAGCCAGTTTGGGGAAAAGGGACTGCAGACCATCTGCTGCTCTCCCAGCCAGTCTGGAGCAGGGACTTGCTCCTGCTGCAGCCTTCCACAAGGTTCTGCTGGGCACCCAAGGAACACCCCAATTGCTCTTCAGAGAGGGCCCATAGGCAAGTTCCTATGGAAATGAGTCCTTTCCTGTGGAAACAGCCACCCATAACCCAACTCTACAGGGCAAGGGTACCAGGGCTCCTGCCTGGGCCTGGCAGGGGCAGGCAGCCAGTCTGGCTGTGGGGACAATGATACTACCCCCACTATCAGACCAGCAGCTAAGTGAGTGGTAGAGTCCTGAGTGCTGAGCAGGGGCAGAGGCTCTGTCCTGGGTTCTGGGGGAGGGGTAGAGGGGTCTGCCCTGGTTGCTGGTCTGCCATAGACACTGGTTTAGGAATAGGACCTAGAGGAAGTTGGGGGGAGGGCAAGGTCTAAGAACAGCTAGGGTCGACCTAAGGGCTTCCCTGGACATTAGGAACCACCACTGGGGAAGGCAGCGAACTTACTGGGGCTCAAACCCTGACATCTGCATCTCTGCAGGGGTTCCAGGGCTTGGCAGGGGCCAGGGGCACCAATGGGGAACAAGGGCCCCCAGGGGCTGTGGGACCCACGGTAAGTCCCGCCTACCTTCCAGCCAGCCAGTCAGCCAGCTAAGGGACAGGGACTGTGGAAGCACAGATATCCAGGCTCAGGGGCTCCCTGCTTGAAGACTGGCCTGTTTGAAGTTTCCTGTAGCTTCCATGGGGACACAGAGCAGGGAGGGAATAGTGGCTGACTTTTGGGGATCCAGCTCTCTGGGAGGCCGCCTTGGTCTGCAGCCAAGAGGGGGAGGGTTTCAGCAACTCAGGGCCCCTTGGATGGGCTCTATGGTGTGGTCATGGCTAGAGGTAGACACAGGGTGGTGGGCCGGAGTTCTTAGCCTCAGGTCTGGCTCTGGGCCAGGGGAGAGTATTTCAGGCAGTATTTTAGCTGTTAGGGACCTCTGCCCATCCTCCCAGCAGAAAATGCACAGCTGGGACAGGTCCTTTGCAGATCATTCCCAGCTGCACTTGGGACTGCCCTTGCTGTGAATGTTGAGCCTCACTTGCCTGCTCTGGGACAGAGCTGAGGGCACACACTTCTTGGACTTGGGAGTTTGACTGTGTGGAGTCAGGGCCATCATGTGTCACCATACTTGCAGCTCCTTTTCTCTGTACTGATAGCTTCCTTCCTGTACCTCTGCTGCAGGGTCTACCAGGGCCTAAAGGTGAACGAGGAGAGAAGGTTAGTGAGGTCCAAAGTCTGGTGGTGGCCTTAGCTTGAGTGATTGGGGATTCCCTGGTAGTACCTGCCATGGGTTCCAAAGCTATTTCCCCCTTCCAGGGAGAACCACAGTCCCTTGCCACCATCTTCCAGCTGGTGAGCCAGGCCTGTGAATCAGCCATACAGAGTAAGTAAGGTCCAACCCACCCAGCCCTGTCCTCAACTGTGAGCCTAGGCTCCACTGATATCGCCTTCTTCAGCACACATACTGAAGTTGAACTCCTTTCTGCATGAGAACTCCCGGCCCCCGATGCCCATCATGGTAGAGGCTGAAAAACCAGGCAGGCCTGGCTCCATGGAGTCCCCTGACTCACATAGAAAGACCCTACTTCCTGGAGACTGGGGACATAGCTACCACCTTGAGGACCAAGGTACCAGGCTCCTTACTCCTGGGAGGGCTTCTCTAGATGGAAAGTGGCGGATCTCCTGCTTGTGTGTGTTTTATCCTTGTCATCCCTTTTACCCAAAGATGTCTCAGTGAACCAAGGATATCCTGAAGTGTCCATAGGTGACCCCCTACCTCACCCAGAAGCTGTAGAGCTTCTATCTTGACCACTGAATCCATAATAAAGCCCTAGTTTGGAACTCAAGGACCTGATGTGCTGCTGTCCTGAGTGCTTAGCCTCTGTCCAAGGGCTGAGCATAATGCCCATCCCAAGAGGCTCTACCATCCCTCTAGACAGAGAGGAGACCAGGAGGCTGCTTCAGCACATCCTCAGGACCTACCATGTCCCCTTTCCTTTCAGGAGAGCCTGCAGCTGTCAGATAGGCAGCCTTGGGCTGCTGGGGAGACAGCCCCCAAGACCCTTGGAGTGAACAGGTAAGTTTCTACCACTGCGCCAGCCATGGGGCATGTCCAGGAAGAAGGAGCAACTTCTGGGAGACACCCTCCTGGGCCCCACCATGAGAAGTTGGAGATGGTGTTGTACAGGCATATCTGAGAGGAGGCACCAGCTATAAGTGTGGGATGGAGGTGGCGCTGCTAAAGCTAGCTGGGTACAGAGGAGCTACAGAGCAGAGCAGGGGATGGAGCTTCAGGAGTGTGGAGGCTCATGGGCCTTGGAGGAACCCCATCATGAGAAGGGACCCTGAGTGGAGTTAGTCCTGCAGAGGAGCTCAAGCATGCACCCCTGTGGACACTCAGTCCAGGTGGGGGCTCCTGAGGTCTGAGACAGAGAGTGCTCTGGAGGTCCTGAATGTGGATGATAGAGTTGAGATGGGAGCAGGGGGGTTACAGTACCAGATGACCTCAGTCCTTTCTCAGGATGTCCTGAGCAAGTGGTCCATGAGCAAACCCATTTGAGGGTTGTTTACAGGTGGGAATGTGGGAGCACGGTGCAGGTAAACACAGGTGTGAGTACACAGAGAGGCAGGTGAGCTCAGGTGAGCACAGGTGGGTACAGCTAAGTACTGATGGGCACAGGTGAACACAAGTGAGCTCAGGTGAGCTCAGATGGCACAGATGAGTTCAGGTGACACAGGCAGCACAGGTGGTTATAGATGAATACAGGTGAGCTCATGTGGGCTCAGGTGGCACAGTTGAGTTCAGGTGACACAGGCAGCACAGGTGGTTATAGATGAATACAGGTGAGCTCATGTGGGCTCAGGTGGCACAGTTGAGTTCAGGTGACACAGGCAGCACAGGTGGTTATAGATGAATACAGGTGAGCTCATGTGGGCTCAGGTGGCACAGTTGAGTTCAGGTGGATGCAACAGAACATTGTCCTCAAGTCAGTGCTGGAGCTGGAGGGACCTGGGAGTAGATTTGGCAGGTGCAAGGGACATGTATGATGGGAAGTAGGTACTAGGGGTGGGGAGCTGCCCATAGACAAGCCAGAACCCTGGGCAAGGATTACAGCCTTGTCCCTGCTCAGCAGAACAATTAGAGAACAACTTGGGCTTTCAATCTGTGCCCATGGCACAGCGAAAACTGGTGTGAGGACCTTAGGCGCAGGAACTCTGGGCAGGCCCGAGCCCACCATGTAAGGAGGCTGCCTGCCGTGTCCTGAGCTGCAGTCTATCTGTCCACAGCTCCTCCCAGATGTGTTTGCTCTTCTCTCTTGCCAGGACCTTCGCTACCATTTCAGATCACCCTGTGTTGCCTCATGTTATCCTCAGTTTTGTCTGGACACTGAAAACAAATGTGTCCCAGACAGGTGGAGAGGGAACTGAGGAGAGACCTGAAGTGGCAGGAGTGAGAAAGGAGAAGGATGTTCCCACCCCAAGCCCAAGCCGTTTCTTTGTATCATTTCCAAGTTCAGATAAACCTCTGACTGCTCATCAGCCTGTGTGAAGTGCTTGCTCACTGCTGGGAGCCATGTCTTCCACCGCTCACATGACCTGCTCGCACAAAACCGTCCAGTGTTCCCGGACCTCCTCAAGGCCCAGCCTCCTTCCTCTGGGCCTCCTCAAGGCCCAGCCTGAATCCTGTGCTGACTTCCTCTCATCCCCCATCCTAGGTAGAAGATGGTTCCCTGCTTACCCACTGCTCATCTGCACACCAATAGAACACAAGCCTGGCCAGGCCTTACACTTCTCAGGGCTCCCTGTCATTTCAGGGGTGAAGTCCAGATACCCTTCCTGCCAGCTTCAGAGCACAGAAGTCCTGTACATGTGCTGTGTCTCTGCTGGGCTCCTCCCAGGGGTTCTCTCACTGACTGTCTCTCCCTCAGAACAATGCCCTCAACTCAGCCTGGTGTCTCTCAGTCCTTTGTATCTGGGTATGAGCAGGGCCCATCTGTCCTGTCCCATTCCTGTCCCCAGCCCAAGAAGTCCAGATCATTCTCACTCCTTTGGCTGGGGTCCCAGTATGAGGATGTCATTTTGAGACCTGGCACTATCAGCCCCTCATCCTCAGGGTCTCAGAGCAAGGCTGTTCCTCAGCAGGGGCTTCTATGTTCCATAGCACCTCTGCTCCAGGTATCTCCCCACCTCATAGAGGCCATGTGAGCCCAGGCCTCACTGTCTTACCCCACCATGCCAGGCAAGGGTCTGGAATGGCATGAGCTCATGACACCTGCACTTGTAATTCTCCTTGCCCAGCTAGGAGGCATGGCTTCTGCTTCCTTTTCCAACAGATATTCAGTAACTGGCCCACCACTCCCATCTGTCTAGCTAAGCAAGAACGGTCCAGAAACAAAGAGGAACCCCACCCACATCATTAGGTGGGAAGATAAAAGTTTTAACAAGGAACAAAGAGACACTTGACTCTGAAGAAACAGTCCACCATGGCTCAATGTATACAGGCACATGTGTGTATGTATGCTTGCATACAGTTCTGTGTGCGTATATGTTTGTGGGCATGTGTGTGAATGCACCTCTGTGTAGGTATATCTGTATGTAAATATTTGCATGCATGTTTCCCTGTGCCTGTCATTGCTTGTGTACATGTGTCTGTACATGTGTGCAGCAGTGATCTTCAAGAAGCCAATACAGGACAACGGATTGTTTCCTCCTGGAGCTCTGTGCGCACACATGCATTTTCAAACACACACACACACACACACACACACACACACACAAATGTACCCTCACACCCCAAGCATACAGCATTGTTATCTAGGTTTAGGGGGCATACTGACAAAGAAAAGGAGATATCTGAAGAGAACAATGCCAAGAGAGAAAAATGGACAGTCTCTACTAGATAAAGGAAATTCATGTTCTCTTTGGTCCATTAATTTTTAAAAACTCACAATACACAAGGAAACAAGGAAGGATATTAATAACGTGAAGCCAAAATAACAGAAATAAATGAGGGAAGGCCAACTAGGACGGTGTGTGGAAAACATGGAGAAACAGAGTGAGATGTTGTCTTAGTTTGTTCTTCATTGCTGTGACAAAACACTCTGACCAGTACCAACTTGGGGAGGAAAGGGTTTATTTGTCTTACATCTCCCAGGTCACACGCAGTTCATCAGGGAGCCCAAGGTAGGAACTCAGGGCAGGAACCTGGAGGCAGGAGATGGAGCACAGGCCACGGAGGAATGCTGCTTAC